CCGCGGGCCGGAGTTTGCTCACGGCTGGGTTAGGGCCACCCTCATTTTCTTGGTGAATCATCTAGTCTCAAGACTACGCTTAGGCATTTGAAATAAACTAGTCCAAAACAAAAACCAACCGAAACCGGTTTGGCTCAGTGGATACGAGCGTCGGCCTGCGGACTCAAGGGTCCCAGGTTCGATTCCGGTCAAGGGCATGTACCTCGGTTGCGGGCACATCCCCAGTAGGAGATGTGCAGGAGGCGGCTGATCGATGTTTCTCTCTCATCGTTGTTTCTAACTCTCTATCTCTCTCCCTTCCTCTCTGTAAAAAATCAATAAGATATATTTAAAAAACAACAACACAAAACCAAAACCAAACCCATGTCCCCCAAAACCTGTTCCGTCACAGTCTTCACCAGCTCAGTATATGGGAACATCATCCTTCCAGTTGCTGAAGCCAAAAACTCTTGGGAGTCAACCAACCCTCATTCTGTTACACCCCATATCCAATCCACCATCAAACCCTGGTGGCTCAACCTTATATATTCCAGTTTAACGATCACTTTTCACCACCTCCACACCATCCTGGTCCAAGCCGTCATCATCTCTTGCCTGAGATGATGTAATAGCTCCCTGACAGTTTCCTTGCTTCCAGCTTTGCTCCCTTATAGTTCACTCCGAACAGAGAGAGCAGTCAGCATGATCTCGTTTAAAATGTAAAGCAACCCTAACCGGTTTGGCTCAGTGGATAGAGCGTCAGCCTGCAGACTGAAAGGTCCCAGGTTCGATTCTGGTCAAGGGCATGTACTTTGGTTGCGGGCACATCCCCAGTAGGGGGTGTGTAGGAGGCAGCTGATCAATGATTCTCTCTCATTGATGTTTCTAACTCTCTATCCTTCTCCCTTCCTCTCTGTAAAAAGTCAATAAAATATGTTAAAAAAAAAAAAAAAAGTAAAGCAGCCCTAGCCAGTTTGGTTCAGTGGATAAAGCATCAGCCTGCAGACTGAAGGGTCCCAGGTTCAATTCCAGCCAAGGGCACATGCCTGAGTTGCAACCTCAATCCCCCAGGAGGGTGTGCCGGAGGCAGCTGATCAATGATTCTCTCATTGATGTTTCCATCTCTCCCTCTCCCTTCCTCTCTAAAATTAATAAAAAATATATTTTAAAAGATAAAATAAAATGTAAATCAGCAAGTTGCTGCAATTGCTAGCTAGCTCCCTTCCCCACTCGGAGTTAAAGTCTCACACAATGTGGTCCCCTGAAACCTATTTGCCTCTTTGTTCCCTCCACTCCAAGAACACAGGCCTCCACGCCCACCCGAGAGCATGTCAAGAAAGCTTCCTCTTTACTCTGGCGAAAGGCTCTTCTCATTTAAGGAAGGAACAGAGATTCACTGCCATGAACTACTGTGTCATTTAATTCTCATAACCACTCTGTGAGGGAAGTTTCAATACCCCCACTTTACAGATTGGGAAAGTGAGGTTTACGGGCCACCTATCTAACAAGTAATGGAGTTGGGGTTCAGCCCTGATTAGTCTGCACAGTACATGAGCTCTCCGTGACTTTTGAGGGGCTATAGGGAGAGGGATCAGTGACACTCCTCTGAAGCCACACCAATTCCAACAGCTACAGGTGTGTGTTGACAGTTAGAGAAAGAGAGCAGAAAGGGCGGCAGAGAAAGAAGATGAGAACCCGAAGAGGAACTTACCCAAGTCAAGAATGGAAAGTTTCAAGGAAAAGGGGGAGGGGTGTCAAATGGAACTGAGACACCAGAAGCCCAAGAACCCAGCACATGCCTCACAGTAAACACACGTACGACGGACAGCAATTCTGACCTGGATTTTTTTTAAAATGTATCTTCTATCAATAACATTAGCCAGAGATATTCTATTCGGTAGGCACGTCCACATGCCTGCAGTTCAGTGTGTGGCAATAGGTGTAGTTAAGCATGTGATTCAGCAACACAGCATCACATCCAGGTGTCCCTTGGCCCATGTGAGAAGCTGGTGTGTTGGGTTGGCGGGGGTGACCATTAAATCTCAGAAGGCAAAGGAAGCAGCACTGATCTTCTGCCCGACCCTGTGGGTATGTGGGACCACCTGTCTACATCCCAGCTGGTCTCTCAAGAAGCCGGAGCGGCAGCCAGGGCCGGAGGGCGAGTGCCAGCCCTCACGCCAAATTCTCCCGGCAACTTCTCGCCTCGGCCCCCTTCCTTTCTGTCCCACCGTCACGACAGGAGAGCCCAGACCCGAACCCACACGATCTCCCTCATCCCCATCCCCCAGACACATCCCGGCAGTGACCCCGGAGAAACACCAAGACCCGCAGCGGCCCGGGCGTGAAAACCCCGCCTCACCACGGCTCCGGCCACAGCGTGGACCAAGCTTTCGTAGGACAGCACGGAAGCCATTGGTGCGGTTCCCCTCAGACTGAGCCACACTTTTCCCGCAGGAGCCGAGGCCAGGCGGGTGAGGAAAGAGGAGCCAGAGCTGGGAGCGAAGCGTCACAAGCTCCACCCTCTCGACCCCGCCTCCTCCGGAAGAACCACTTCCGGGTCGTAGGGCGCCCTGTCTCCCAGCTAGAGAACGCCGGGGCTGAAAACGCCCCCTTGGCTCTGATTGGCCCGTACAGCGTGTGCGGGGCGGAGCAGCGCAGTGTTGGCTCCACCCCACGGAGCGGTGTGACAGCCTCCTAGAAGTTCCAAAATCTGGGCAGGCTTGCTTCACACCTACCAAACACTGGGGACTTCAGAAAGCCTAGATCAGCGGTTCTCAACGTGTGGGTCGCGACCCCTTTGGGGGTCGAACGACCCTCTCACAGGGGTTGCCTAAGATCATCGGAAAACACATATATAATTACATAGTTTTTGTGATTAATCACTATGCTTTAATGTTCAATTGGTAACAATGAAATTGGGGGTCACCACAACATGAGGAACTGTATTAAAGGGTCGCGGCATTAGGAAGGTTGAGAACCACTGGCCTAGATGGTCTTTTTCTCATTTTCCTCTGTAATACAAACTGAGACTGGCAAGATGGGGGACTCAAATCTTCCTGTTTCTCTGCAACTTGATTCATATTTTCTCTCGCTAGAATATTTTTTTCTCTCGCTAGTAGTTTTAAAGTCATATTTTAGCAGAGATATCAATTGGGCAAGGTTCTCCCACTGAAAAACCCTGGGGTGTGGTGGAAAAAGAAACTGGCTTCGGTAAGTCAAAATAATCAGATGCAGGTGGGAACATACTCGTTGGCAACAAGTCTTTAAACTCTTGGTTTCTCCTTTTTGTGAAATGGATGTTAATACAGTACTACCAACTTCATTTGCTGTGAGGATTACAAAAGCTAATTTATATAGCCGTACTTTATAATATACTTAAAATTTTTCCCATGTTGTAAAATGAGGAACCAAACACCACAGTACTAGAGATACCATATTTCTAAACTAGCATTCTAAATTATATTGTGAGATACAATGTTTCAGGACTCCAATTTCATTTCTTTACTGGAATACCAGTCACATGTCTCTATCAGTTTTGGTACCAGCAAGTTTTATAACATCCTCGCTGACAATTCCTGAGTGTTTACTGATAGGTTAACTGCACCGTCATTTTTAAAACTAATTTTTTCTTGTCCCTATTATTGGGTCTGTCACAAGTGGACCAAGCACTTTAATTGTTACATCCGTATTAGGAGAAACACCTATTGGATGTGCACATCAACACACCTCATGATGTAATGAACAATTCTGCAAGAAGCAACCTCATACAGATAGGGGCAGGAGAGCATAGAATTTAAGAGAAAGGCCTTTGAAACCACAAGCTTGGTTAAAAATCCCAGCTCCACAAATAATCAGAGGTGTTATCCTGGACTATTTACTAAGTGCTTGTTTCTTCATCTGTATAAAATGGAGACAAGAGCACTTACCTTATGGTCATTACCAGAATTGAGTATTTGCAAACTGATTACAAAGTGCTTGGCAAAAAGCACTACTTACTTGATATATGTACCTACTTGGGTGCATTAATTTCAGATATGGTTAAATCTCTAATATGTAAGTTGTTTCTATGTCCCATTAGGCCAGTATTTCCTAGTGTGGCAGATTGCTGAATGTTACTCTAGGTCTTTTCTCCATTTCTTCTGTGGTAATATTTTGTTGGGCTCATGACCACACAGCTATGCTTACTCTGCAGCTAAAAAATTTAAGCTTCAAGACAAAGATAAAGCTGATCAACAGGATATGAGAATACAATGCTAATTCCATATATTATCCTAAGTATTTCAGCATATGATTCCCTGGAGCTCTCTTCTGTTTCCTCAAGATAGATATGCTTGCAGAACAAGCATCTTTGGACCCAGAAATGAAAACTAACCGAATACGGCAGAACTGTTTACCTCTGGACTGCTACCTGAAAGAAAATTAAAGCAGATTTATTTAGGCCAGCAATTTTCAACCAGTGTGCCACCAAGAATTTTTAAAATATGCAGTATCTGACTACTTAATCAGGGGCATTGACCTCTTTTCCCTTAGACTGCCCATTTAAAAATGACAACCGTCAACACAATAGCTATCTGGTGTGAATGCCCTGCCTTGAACCATATGTAATATAACAGGAGTTGCATCTTATTGGCCACGTTGCATAATAAGGTTGCATCTGATTGGTTAATTCTTGGTACCAGGCATCCTTATATACAAGTATAAGCACCTAATATTTTTTAAAAAGTCACTTTGGAACAAAAAGGGTAATCACTATTATTCTTTGTGTAGATTAATAAAAATTATACCTATTTTTTGTCAGATTGGCAAAAAACATTTTTGTTGTGCCACAGAATTTTATTAATTAATGTGCCATAAGATGAAAAAGGTTGAAAATTGCTGACTAATGTATTTTTGTGGGTCCCTGTTAACAGCATTTTATAATCTGAAACCTACTATGCCCCATAAATAACTTAAGATGAATGCTAGAGACCAAAGAAATAGAACATGTGCTGGGGGGAAGAAGGGGGGTGGGAGAGTCAATATCCAGTTTGAAACCATACTTTATTTTTAATGTAGCTAGAAATATCCAACAACTATATAGTTTTAAGCAGGAAAAACCCTTTACTTTTTCCTTCTTACAGCATTATTAGCACAAAAAAAGAACATTTGTTTAAAATGATATATTGAGTTTCTATGAAAATGAATGTATTTTTTATTTGTGGAACTTAAAAGTCTAAAAGCACAGAACACATTTTCAGAAGACCAGTTTTAGTTTTACCCATTTATGGTTAATATTTGCAATGTTAGAATATACTTAGGTAATGTGTAGTCAAGTAAATAAATCAAATAAGGAATTCAAAAGCAACTGGTCTTCTTGAGTTATTCACAGCCTACATTGGAAATTTTGAGAAAGAACACACATTAACAAAAAGAACACTGGCAAGCTCAAATGCTAAGTTTATATGCTGAGTATTTTTAAAGGGTTTAAAAAGCATGCTTAATTAGCATACAGCTTTTTCTCTTATATAAGATGCATTTCTATCTGCTTGTGTACAGCAAAGGATTAGAATCTGAATTGACTTTAATTTCAGATGTGTGCTATTTAAAAAATGTATTCAATGGAATTACTTTACTGTTCCTACCACTGATTCTTCAAATAAGCAAAGTACATTAGCATTTAAATGAAAGATAGGTAGAAACCTAAAAATTCCTTGTACAGTGCCTGGACTTAGTCTCATTTAATATAGGAACTGAATATACAACAGAAAATTTATCATTTTCTTTATCCTTGGAGAGGGAAAAAGAGGTGAAAATATGGTTGCAGTATTTCAGAGCTGAATAAGAGAACAATGAATCCTTTATAATACCAACAACTCTACAATAAAGAACCATGGATCTCATCAAGTTTATAATTCATGTTGGAGCAAAAACTTAGGTTCCCCTCTATTTATTTCAAGTAATTCAAACCTCAGACTCTCTCCAAAATACAAAGATAAACTCAACTGATATTTCCTAAGTAAAAGACCAAACACCAAAGGGAATCCCTCCTTCCAACATCTTCTGATATAAGATTTCACCAAAGTAGAAATCTAATACTTAAATATGAATTCTCCTGGCCAAGTAGGAAACTACAGCTGTTATGGGTATTACCCTACATAGTCAGTCACTATATGTATTACATATTAAATTAAACCCAGCATTAAATATGCTTGCACAATTATGCTGTGAATTATTCACTAGCAGTGATGATGCTAGTGAAAAAGGACTATCTTTAGCCCAAGAGAAAGGGAAATGTAAAAACAAGTAGAAAGCTGACGAGTTGGTTATTTTTTGACCAGAAAAGGTAATTTTAAACATAGAAATATAAAAAGAAAAGTATTCCTTATTTCCCCTATGTGGAAATAATATGAAACATTTATTTGATTTATCAGACAAGAACAGAGCTAAGTAATCCAACTCTACTGCAGCATTATAAAAATCACCCCTTCACCAGTGTAAGATTTAAATGCATCTGCACAAGGGTACGTGTTATATAAAATGTAGTAAGATTGCTGCTGCCCTGCCTAGTACTTCCAGTCCCTACCCAGGTCCCAGTAGTTTTATCAAAATAAATCATTTTTTTTAAATAAAGCATTTAAAAAGAGAAATCGAAATGGTTACAATATATGGTTACTGAGGTAAGCCATATATCTAACTCAAGCTTTATTTAAATGTTATATTTGCTTTCCACTAATAAACCTTTACTTCACTCTAACTGAGCAATAAATCTTCCATTCTGAAGTATCTTTTGCCCAATTAATTCAAAGGAAAACACCAAAATGATTAGTAAAGAAAAATGTAGGGTTTAACACACCCTTTTAATTTGTTTTTAAGTATTTTTAAGGTTTAAAGTGTTTAAACTTTGTAATTCCTAGTAGGAAAACATTATCTGGACGAATACCATAATGGCAAACCACTGTGAAATGTTACAGCTGCATTTGGGGCAGAGGGGTAGGGATTCTCTTCAAAGCACCCCAGCTTTCTTCATGAGAAGGTCAGAGGTACACTGGTTTGTATTATTGCGACATCCATTGGGTGATCCAAGTTGCTTTTCCTTCAGCAAGGGCTTTATTTGTCAGAAGGGCATTATGCTTGACCTCCAAATTTGGCTGACAATTTACTGATGAGATTCATAACCTTTGGGTTGCTCTGATATTTTGACATATTTGCTGGGTTCTGAGCCACATCCTGGAAGGCCACCATAACTTCTGGATCCTGCAAAGAAAGGTTTTGTTTTTAAGTACTTAAAAATTTTATGGATCAACAAGTTTTTATCTTAAATCCTACCTATTTGTTTAGACCTATAATTTTGTCATGGTCAAGTTATTTGGGATTTGGACAAGTCCCAGAACTAGAAATATTATTAAATGTGCACTTCAAAGTCACTCAATTATATCATTTTACCTAATGAAAAGAAAACCATATAAAGTCTTGATATAAAGAAAAGGACAACCAAATATAATTACCAACTATTACAAAGTATTTCCTATAAAACAATTTTTAAAAATTTAAGTGCCCTGGCCAGTGTGGCCCAGTTGATTGAGCATTATCCCATACACCAGTAGGTTGCTGGTTCGATTCCCAGTCAGGGCACCTGGCTGGGGGTTCAGGCTCCATTCCTGGTAGAGGGCCTGCAGGAGGCAGTCAATAGATGTTTCACTCTCAGATCAGTTATTTCTCTCTCTCTCTCAAAATCAATAAAAAAATCTTTAAAAAAAAATTTTAAGCTACTCATTCTCAAAGAAAGTGAGTATCACAAGCTATTTGGCAATTCAGATCAATACAACTTGGCTAACAGAGTAACCTTTGTCCCCACACAGAATTATGAAAGAAATGCCTTAGTGATATAAAGTTCCACTCTGTTTTTCTAAGTCTTACCTGCATGGCTGCAAGAACCTCTGGATCACTAAGAATTTCATTGAGCCCAGGCATTCCTGCCATTCCAGGCATGCCTCCTCCCATTCCAGGCATTCCTCCAGGAAAATTACCAGGCATTCCCCCAGGAAAGCCACCTACAAAAATAAATGAAAAGATTATATAGACACCAACCACATTTTGAAGTAATCTAATAGTATACTATTTTCTACTATGGATGAAAAGGGGGATTTACAGAAAGTAACTTCACAGGGTGATCCGATCACAAATTCCTAACTGGGTAGGTCACAGTGGGTAGTTAGGCTCCAGGTGTGTAACTTCTTTAGCAAAAGATTTATCTCTTTGCCCTAAGCCAGCCCTGTCTAGGTTAAGATACCTTTGAAATAAGTACCAACCCTGCTCAAGAGAGCACATAATTTTTGTTAACTCTCCTGTAATCCAATTCCCAATCTTGCTTTTCCCCAACTTCATGTAATGTTCCCTCAATTTCATAAAAGAAATGCATGAAAGAAACTGCAAAACTGTCATTCTCCAAAGCATGAGATGAGCAACTCTCATCAGTTTTGACTCAAATAAACTCTTACAAAAAATTCTCTATAGCCCTAACCGGTTTGGCTCAATGGATAGAGCGTCAGCCTGCAGACTGAAGGGTCCCAGGTTCAATTCCGGTCAAGGGCATGTATGTATCTTGGTTGCGGGCACATCCCCAGTGGGGAGTGTGCAGGAGGCAGCTAATCAATGTTTCTCTCTCATCGATGCTTCTAACTCTCTATTCCTCTTCCGTCCTCTCTGTAAAAAAATCAATAAAATATATTTTTAAAAAATTTCTCTACAGGTTTGGCCCTGGCCAGTATGGTTCAGTTGGTTAGAGCGTCATCCCATACATGGAAAGGTTGAGGGTTCAATTCCCAGTAAGGGCACATACCTAGATGTTTCTCTCTCACATCAATGTTTCTCTCTCTCAAAATCAATGAACATGTCCTTGGGTGAGGATTAAAATAAATAAATTATCTACAGGTTTGGGCATTTCTTACGTCCACACTACCAATTAAAATAACACACACGTACATGCACAAAGAAAAAGGAGGTTATGCTACTAAACACAAAGTAGTCTGAACATTCTAACTGGATGTAACAAGATAAAATTTTTTGGATTCAATTTTTTTCTTAAAAAATGAGGCTGTAAATCAGACTTTGCTACCTTCTGGGTTCATTTTTCCCCCTAGCAATAAAACTCTTAAAAAAAAAAAAAGAAAACTAATCTTACCTTAAAATAAAAAGCTAACAGTCCCTTGGAATTACAAAATTTCTTTAATATTATTTCTGCCTCAATTTAAAGTTAATTCATTCAAGTTTAGTTATTCTTTAAAAAATAACAAAAAAACTATATTCTTCTAGAGCAGTTATTCCTTTAACAACTACATGGAATGCTTGTTTTAAAAAGCTGTGGAATTTTATCTCCACAACCGAAAGAATCAAAATTTCTGAAAGTGAAACTGAAAATCTGCATTTTTAACAAGCACTCCTGGTGTTTCTTCTTTATACTGAGAATAATGCTCTAGCAAAAAGGATTTAATACTACCAGCATGTTTTTTAGATAAGCCAAAATTATTTTCTACTCAGTTTTTCACTATTTTTATGTCCACTGGAAGTATTCTGAAATAACAATTATACCAATATAATTCTAAAGGGAAATACAGGTAACATCAATGTATTCTACAGATCAAGAGTCACTGTAATTAAGCGCCCCCTCCAAAACAAAAATATGGTACAAAGTCATTACTATCTGGCTCAATAATTTAAACATGTGCATAAATAACTAACAATCACAGATAAGGAGATCTAAGTGGTCTAAAAGCTTCTCTTGCTGCTCCTACTGACTAAAAAACTGGTTTATACCCATAAAAAAATTACTGACCCAATGCAGTAATAGTTAACTAGTCTGCTTGTTAATCTAGGTAATAAAAAATACATAATAAAAAATTATCTCTACACTAATCTACATTAGTGGTCACTTTCTAAAACAAAGGTACCTGACATAAGATCATTTATATTTTAAACAGGAAGTAAACTATCAACTAAAATTTTCTTGCCTTTTCTCCAAATTACACTCAGCCCCAATATATGTTCTTCCTTTTTAGTTGTTTGGCACGTGACCTTTTAGAACAGAGGCTACCTTTTTAGCCAGTGGCAGGCATATAAACATAAGCAGTGTATGGCTGCTTCTAACCCTCCTTAAGAGGAAGCTGGTTACTACTATTAAACAGCTGATTCCCCATTAGAATTATGAACTTAAAAAAAAAAATCTCTTCCTAGTTTTTATATAAATTTCAAACTGCCTCATTAAGGAAGTATTCATTCATTCTCTGAGTGCCCTTTTAACTGCTCTTCTACTTGTATTATATAGGACTGGTATCATTCAAGGCTTTGTCTCGCTGGTAATTTCAGATCACTTGACACAAGAAAGGGAAGAGTGTATATTATTTTTACACTGGACTTAAAACATTTTTGTGCTAATTCCACACAGCACTTTTACTTACTATCTCATGAATAGACAAAATTCCATTATATTTAGAAATACTTTGAATCCATCACAATCATCATACTCTTTTAATAAAGGTACAATGCTTGGGCCTCAATAAATGTCAGCTACTTTTAAAAAGTATACTGCTCGCCAAAACCGGTTTGGCTCGGTGGATAGAGCGTCGGCCTGCGAACTGAAGGGTCCAGGTTCGATTCTGGTCAAGGGCATGTACCTTGATTGCAGGCACATCCCCAGTAGGAGGTGTGCAGGAGGCAGCTGGTCAATATTTCTCTCTCATCGATGTTTCTAACTCTCTATCCCTCTCCCTTCCTCTCTGCTAAAAATCAATAAAAATATATTTAAAAAAAAAAAGTATACTGCTCAATGTATGAGGAAAATAATATACTGTTATTTCCACTAACATAAAATTTTTATTAGAATGAAACTTACTAGAAGCTAACATTCTAAAGATTCTTCAGTGTCCTAGGGACTAATGGTATTAAATATAATAAACATATCAGAGCCCCCAAATCAGAACATTCTCCAATTATTTACAATACTAATAGGCTTAATTTTTATTTCAAAATACCTGGAAAAGAGCCATACTGAGCTCCTGATTGTCGTCTAGCTTCTTCCTCCTTTAATAGAAAAACAAATTATGTTACAAGGAGGGAAAAAGTCCTGCTGTCCACCCCTACCTTACCCATGCAGAATCATGGAAAAATTTGTAAAAATAAGGTAGTTATAGTATTACAAGAATGAAAAACTTCAAGTGGAAATAATGGACTAAAGGATACACATCTTCACAATCCACCCCCCACCCCAAATTTCCAAATGAATTTCTCAATGAGCATTACTTTTGATAATGATTTCAAGTGTTTTCCTTCTACTTGGGAAAGGGACAAAAACCTGGAAATGAATTTATAATACTGATTTGTTGGTCCATGCTTATAAAAACTACATTCTTATTATTTTTAAATTCCAAAATAAAAGCACATGGTTAGATTACTAAAACTGCTGTAACTTTTGTTTCCTAGGTTCGTCTTTTCCATACTCTCTCTATGTAATTCAACAACAAATACAACTAGAGATTTACTGAATGATTTTTGTTGTTTTCTTAAACACAAAGTAAAAAGAAATATACATAAACTTCCCTCATAACCAATTATAAAGTAATTTGGAGATACATAAAAATTACTTTTGAAGATTATAAACTATAATCCCCAAAATCAAGCATTATGCTTAAAAATATTAAATGACAACAAAAATTAGGGTATAATCCCTATACATAAAAGCCTAAGTGACCAAGTGACTGAATGACCGGTTGCTATGATGCGCACTGACCACCAGGGGCAGGCGCTCAACGAAGGAGCTGCCCTTTGGTAGTCAGTGCGCTCCCACAGTGGGAGCACTGCTCAGCTGATAGACCGGCGCCAGACACAGGGCTCACAGCTGGTGAGTGCTGCTGGGGATTGACTGGGCGCAAGCCCGTGGCAGGTGCAGCAGGGCAGGGATGAGCGGGAGCGGCAGACAGGAGCGGCAAGAGGCATTGCACTGCCAGTTTCGGCCTGATCCCCGCAGGCCATGCCGACGGATCCCACCAGTGCACAAATCCATGCACTGGGCCTCTAGTGTTATCTTATATAATAAAAGCCTAATATGCAAATTGTCCCCTTGAGCAGTCGTTCGACCAGGAGACCGGGAATTCGACTGCTCACTATGACGTGCGCTGACCACCAGGGAGCAGCGCAAAACATGGTGGGCGTCAGCGACACAGTGCCGACAGCAGGCGGTAGTGGAGGGACCGCAGCGGGATGGTGGAGCAGGTGAGCGGGCAGCACCAGGCCAAGGCTGGTGCGAGGGGGGGGCCTGATCGCCCCGCCAATTGCCCTGCAGACAGCGACCAAAAGCAGTGGCGGGGGGCCCAGCCCCAATCAATCACTCTGCAGACAGGATGGTGGAGCAAGTGAGGGGGCGGCGCCAAGCCAAGACAGGGTGCCAGGTGGGGCTGCAGGGCTAGGGGTGCGAGCTGGGGCCCGATCTCCACAGGCCAGCACAGGGAACCCCACTCATGCACGAATTTGTGCACCAGACCTCTAGTCCTATATAATAAAGAACTAATATGCTAATTAGACCGAATAGAACGACTGTCTGGACGACCTTCTGGACAAAGCAGGGTTGCGAGGGCCAAGCCCCTTGCACAAATTTCATTCCTCAGGCCTCTAGTATAATTATAATACAGCTTTATGTCCTTTTATCTAACAACTAGAGGCCTGGTGCACAAAATTAGTGCATGGGTGCGGTCCCTAGGCCTGGCCGGCGATCGAAGTGTGAGTGTCTGGCATGGAAGGGCAGATCTAAGCTGATCTCTGGGCCCCAGGTAGCATCTGGAGCCCCGGGCCCCTTCCACACCCCCTCCACCTGAGTCACAGCACCCAAGTCCCCACGCGGAGACGCGGTGAGCCTCACCGGACGCTGCGAGCTGGGGTGCAGTGTGGGAAGCCAGGCAAGCAGCACACTCTCTCCTGGCTGGCCTTGCAGACCAGCTCCTCTGCAAACTCACGGGGAGCCTGACTAGCCCCTGCAGTCTTGGCTCCTCAAAGGCACCTGAGAGCGGGGTCTTCTCCGACACGCAAGCCCTGGCATCCCGGGGGAGGGTAGCAGGGGGAGTGAGAGCGAGCTCGGTAGACACCGAGCTCGGTGGACACCCCACATTCTCACCACACCTCCATCCCTGTCACCCCCGCCCCCAGGTAGCTTGCAAGAGGTCACAGCGCATCACCGACGCCTGCCGTGTTCCACACCGCCCCCCTGGTGATCAGCACACGTCATAGCGAGTGGTCGAACTCCTGGTCTCCTGGTTGAACTACTGCCTGAGGGGACAATTTGCATATCAGGCTTTTATTATCTAACAATGTTAAAAATAAGTAGAGCCCTGACTGTTTTGGCTCAGTGGATAGAGCGTCGGCCTTTGGACTGAAGGGTCCCAGGTTCGATTCCGGTCAAAGGCATGTACCTTGGTTGCGGGCACATCCCCAGTAGAGAGTGTACAGGAGGCAGCTGAATCAATGTTTCTCTCTCATCGATGTTTCTAACTCTCTATCCTTCTCCCTTCCTTTCTGTAAAAAATCAATGAATTATTTAAAAAAAAAAAAAAAAGATGAAAACTGACAGCATCAATGCAAAAGGCTAGTAATATAGAAAATGACTAGGAGAAATCTTAAGAATAACAACAGTATTGTAGATAAATTATGGACAACTTCTTTTTTATCTAAATTTTATATAACATTAATTGCCCAGTGCACAGATTTGTGCACATTGAAAGGAAATTAATTACAAGAAATATTTTAATATCGCTATTTGCCCTTTTCTATAATAGAAATGTCAACAAAAACAACCAAATTCACGATCAACAATGACAGATCAAAACGCACGCATGTGATTGGCGCCAGCGAGAACTTTATATGTATGGCGCATGCGTGAGTCAACGTTTCTTTTTAAATTGCCAGTTCGCGTCATATGTACCTGCCGGCTGGTCATACGTATGTATGTACAGTTGGTCACTTAGCCTTTCATATATATAGATGACTTTGTAATTAAAAATAAACAGCTAGCATCAATTTTAAATAGCTATGACTAAACAGCTGGAATAGGAGGAACCAGAACATTTACACATCAGGGCAAGCATCTTCAAGAAAACAAATAATTACTGCCAAGTTTTAATTATTTGACAAGGAAAAATCCCTGATTTAAGGAGAACACAAGAATATAATTGGTGAAATATAAACTCACTTAAGAATTTAAAGACTAGCCTAAACCGGTTTGGCTCAGTGGATAGAGCGTCGGCCTGCGGACTGAAAGGTCCCAGGTTCGATTCCGGTCAAGGGCATGTACCTGGGTTGCGGGCACATCCCCAGTGGGAGATGTGCAGGAGGCAGCTGATCGATGTTTCTCTCTCATCGATGTTTCTAACTCTCTATCTCTCTCCCTTCCTCTCTGTAAAGAATCAATAAAGTATATTTAAAAAAAAAAAAAAAAGAATTTAAAGACTAAAAGTATCCCCACAAATTAAATAAAGGGAAGGAAAACCCCCTTCATCATTATTGTACAGAACTGCATGCAGCATGAAAGAAGAGCCAAGAATTAGGATAATATCCTAAAAGCTCTAACCTACTGTATTTTCCATTAATGGTTTAGTTATAGAAACTTTACCCTCTGGGCTTTCTCATGTTCTTCCCGAGCCTTCTTAACCCTTTCCATTCTTTCTTTGATCTCTCGCTCTTCCCGTTTCCGCTCATACTTTCTCCGATGTTCTGCAATTTTCTGGGCCTAGGGAAAAAGAGCCACAGAAAAATGTTCTAAAAACTGAATAAAGTCAATACATATCTACAGTTTTATTAAAGAATTACTTTTCTTTGTGGAGAGGTGTTTGACATAGTTTTGAATAATGACAGATTTACCTGACAGAAAAACACCTGAGGTAACTCAGGCTTTAACAAGTCCACTGTCAAACAATTAAATATGGCTAGGAGGACAATCAGGTTTCAAATTGCACAATTCTCATCTGATACCTGCCCTGGGAAGGCAGAAACTAGAAACACATATACCAGTTATTTGCCAGTCTAACAATACTTAACTTTCCTCATCTATAAAATGAGAAACATGCAAGTCTTACAGAAATGCTGTAAGAACTAAGAGAGAGCCCTAGCTGGTTTGGCTCAGTGGATAGAGCGTTGGCCTGCTGACTGAAGGGTCCAGGGTTTGATTCCAGTCAAGGGCACATGCCCAGGTTGCGGGCTCAATCCCCAGCAGGAGGCAGCCGATCAATGATTCTCTCTCATCATTGATGTTTCTCCCTCTCCCTCTCCCTCTCTGTAATCAATAAAAATATATTAAAAAAAAAAAAAAGAACTAAGAAAATATATGTACCAGGCACTAGTATATCATTCACAACAAATTCTTGGAATCTATTATTTATTCAGAGAATAACACTAATTAAATGAGATTCATATTCAACCATTAGTTTACTTGTGATTTTTTTAAGAACCTCACATTCCAGAATATCTCACACAATAATCTTGCTGAGTTAGCCCTGTTATGAGAAGAAAAAAGAAATAACAGTCTCTAACAGTAGCTAAATAAAATAAAATTTGCACTACCTTAAAACCTTTGGGAATGAATTCTGGATAGTAGAACTACCCACAAAGCTGAAGGATTTACCATGTGAATGCATTAAAATTAATTTCACTGACAATTTTAGACAGAAATTACCTTAAAACAATATTCTAGCTTTTGGATTCAATATTATCATTTTTTCAAAGGTTGAACTTGTTAACTATCACAGGGCCCTCATATTTTATAATGTGGCTATATATACCTATGATAAATACAGATCAAACTCAATCTTGGCTCACATTTTATACATTTTTCCATTTGCCCCCTTCTTCATTTGTTTTTGGTTATAATTCTATTGAAGGTGTGCAAACAAAGTAATAGAGCTTGCTACAATAGAGTATGAAAAAGGAAAGCATGAAAACTAAATATGATTTCCTGAGTTGAGCACAAACTTCAGTGATTACAGATAATAATTTCCAAATGTTTGTTTCTTTGCATATGTTTTGCAGATATTTACTGCCAGGGGCTAAGTGCTAGAGCCATGGAGCATTACAGTAATGACTTTCCTTTCTCCACTTTAACACACCTTTGGTTGAACTTCTTTCAGCATTGCACTAGCATCTTCATCATAATCCAATTTACATGCAAGGGCAAGATCATGGGCTGCTTCCTCCCAGTGGCCCAGAAGTCTGAAACAGATTGAAATTCATTTTAGAGTATTTTATACATATTCACTTATGCAGCTCAGTGTCCTTGTTCCTCATTATGAGAAAGGACTGTTACAGCCTGGCCAGTATGGCTCAACAGTTGAGGGATGACGCATGCACTGAGAAGTCTCTGGTTTGATTCCCAGTTAGGGTACATGCCTGGACCATGGACCCGATCCCTGTAGGGGATGTACAGGAGGCAGCCAATCGATGGTTCTCTCTCACATCAATGTTTCTCTCTCTTTACCTCTTCCTTCCTCTCTAAAAATCAATGAAACAAAGTTTTAAAATAATTCAAGTAATTTAAAACTATATTATGACAGTATTATCTTCAGTGGGATATAGATAAAAACTGCAACAACAAAAACTTTAAACTTTAAAGATTATATTACCTCTCAGGTATGATTTTGAAAATTTTATGTATATGGTAAGGTAACACAAGTAAATATATTAGGGGCAAAGATTTTGACTTTAGGATAACTATCAAAAATACAAAATACATTTAATATTGAATTTTAATGAAAAATTATCAATATAAATTTAAAATTTATAACTTTTTCCTTAAAATTATTATTAAAAAAATTTTTTTTTCTAATTCTGTCTATTGAAATGACAGAAAGTAAGGACACCACAGAAGTAATGAACACATCTGGTGACCCAACTTTAGTTTCTATAAAAATAATCCCCACTAAACTTAACCAATGTTTCTTGAAGAAATGGTTTACTACAAATCTGAGACAAGCAAAGTTCAAGATGAGCCCATTCTATGTTCTACCAGAAGACAAGGAAATGCTCAAATACTATTGGGGGTCTCAAGGATCAATGGCAATGCCCAAGCTTTCCTGTACTGGCGGAGCATTAATACATTTATCTGTATCTTTGACGTATGTCTTAAAAATCTCTAAAGCTACTTTTTTGAGTCACCTAAGCACAGTTGGTCCAAGCATGTCCATCTTCATCTCCACTCACACTTGAAGTATAGTACTTTTCATTCCATGAACGATGTCAATGTCATTGGACATTTCATCTCAAACCACAAATACCCATTTGTATAACACTGTTTCGCTTCCAGGAATGATTACTAATCTAGGCTAAATTCACCTCTTTATTTGCTCCCTCTCCTGATATTTCAGATGACGTAGCATTGACTGAAGTAGCTGGAGGCTAGTGAATTCCTTCTTCTATAATATATTGGTTATTTAATGTTAAGTTGCAGATAGAAAATCTGAAAATAAGAGAAAATCTGATACAAGGTGAGGAATAGAGTGAAGAAATAAAATGGAGTAACTATGGTCAAGCTTCTAAATTATTAACTTCAAGTGGGCTGAGGCACAAGGAAACAATTATTCTTGTTTTAACTGACTCTAGGAACATCCCATAAGACCCTTGAATACATCTTTGTCATTTATTTCCAGACAAAGTCCTGACTGTGAGTTTGGTTGATAAAGGCCACTCTCTTTTCCTGGAGATAATTTTGAGAAAAATCCTTACCTTAAATTTGGCTATATGTGGTCAAAACTGTAACAGTGGTTTTCTTTGAATAAAAGGAGTAAATAATTTTTATTTGTTCCTTACGATATGAATTCTTCATGTTGCGTACATATAATTATTACTTTGAAATTAAATCTTTAGGCAATTTTGTATAAGAAAGCATATTTAAAAACACCAGATTTAAATAAAGAGTTCTAAAAATAAATAAATTCTATTACTTACCTGTGTGCCTTCCCTCGCCACTTGTAAGGCTGAGCTGAATCAGGATTTATTTCAATAGCTCTGTCACAGTCTCGGATGGCAGCATTTGGCTTCTGTAATTTGATGAAGACACTAAAAAATAAGTGTGATATTAATAAGTATTCATTTAAAACAATAACACCTTTGGGATTGCTACAGAAGCCAAGTCTATTTAAATAAATGATCAGAAATTATTCGCAGGGGCTCAGCCAGTGTGGCTTGTTGGTTGAGTGTCAAGCTATGAACCAGGAGATCACAGTTCAATTCCCAGTCAGGGCACATGCCCAGGTTGCAGGCTCAATCCCCAGTGAGGGTCGTGCAGGAGGTGGCTGATCAATGATTCTCATTATTGATTTGTCTACCTCTCCCCCATCTCCCTTCCTCTCTGAAATCAATAAAAATATCTTTAAAAAGAAATTATTCACTAGGGGGTGCTATTTTGTTTAGAGCTCTCACCTGGCTCTCTTGGCATACAGAATGGCCAAACGAGGATTCAGCTTGATGGCATCTGTGAACAAGTCTATGGCTTTCTGTAGTTCACCTAAAGTGAAACAAGAGTTATTGGAAATAGCCAGAGGATAAAAAATATTAAGAAAAATTGTTAATCTCTTGTCTCATTAGTCTTTCACATACTTTATTTAGACCAGAAAAAAAAGACTAGTTTCTAAATTAATATTCAAAATGGCTCTTCAAAGCAAACCTTTACCAAACTTATAATACTGTAAATCACTCAACACAAGACAATAGCACACTCTTAGTTCTCATAATTGATTTTAATTAAGAAAAAGTAAATGGATAAAATTTAAAGAATAAATCAATTTTATTCCATAAATTTTCTTTTATCCACATCATTTAACCTTTTAACCCACATCATTATATCTATTCAAAAAGTTAGCTTCTTTATTAGTTCCTCCAGTGGAGTCATTCAACAAATAAAATGTACTATAGAATTAGAACAGTTCTTTGCATAAAGTCTAATTTACTTGGACATAGGAAACATGGAAGGCAAGATAAACACAGAATTTTAAAGTAAAAGCACAATTCACTTTGAAAATATATTGTATAAAGCACCTTAACAGAACTCATGAAACAATGTTCAGTCTTACTAGTTATTACAGATGTCTAGTACAAGTTATTACTCTGGGATGTCTAACAAGCAACTCACATCAGAATCTGTCTATGCTCTGAGGCAAGGTGATTGATACCTGAGTGATTTCAGCCTCTTTACTAATGGGGAAGGGTTGGGAGGAAAATAGGCACTTCATTCAGTATAAGATATTCAATAAATTTAAATTCCTTTTCCCTTTCCCAGTATTTAACAGTTACTACGGCAGAGAAGAGAAAATCTGGAATATCACAGAAATGTAGCAAAGTATAAAAAAATCACTCACCATCATTTAGGGCATCAATAGCAGCCACTTTTTTGTCATTTGCCTGATCCATCATCTCGTCAGTTATCTAGGGGAAAATTGAAGGCAGACTTAGAATAGTAAAGAGAGCAAACAGAAGAAAACAATTTGGAGTTTTTAGGAATGAGGTAGTCACAAACCCCATTTTTATTCATTTTTCTCTAATATCCAGAAAGCCAAGAGAAATATGATCTATATATAAAACCCTAATATGCAAATAGACCGAATGGCAGAACAATCGAACAACTGGTCACTATGACATGTGCTGACCACCAGGAGGCGCCAGACCAAGGTGGGGTGCCCGTCACTGTCATCAGGGCAAGCCTCTGGTGGTTACTGAAAATTCTTTGCTCCTGCGTGCTGCAGTTCCGCCTGGCGCTCACACCCGCTGCCGGCGCCCAGCGCCGGTCCCAATTGTTCAGTGCCATCAGTGGGGGTGAGTGGCGGCTGCTGGCCCTGATCACCCCTGTGGGCTTCTCCACCTTCCCCTGCTCCTGAGGCGTGATTGGGGCAGCAGCTGCCACTCACATCCGCTGACGGTGCCAGCTCTGCCCACACCTGCTGCTGGCGCCAGACCCAATTGCTCCACACTGTCAGCACGTGGGACCTGTGGGAGCAGGGCTGTCAACAGACAGGGGACCAGGACCCACGGCGGGAGGGGCCGAGCAGGGGCACGGAGGATGGGCTGAGATCCGCCCCTGTGTCCTCCACAGCCTCATGGCCCACAGTTCCTTTCAAGGTGCACAAATTCGTGCACTGGACCCCAAGTAACTGAATAACACAGTATACAGAATGAGTTGTAATCTTTTACATGAAACAACAAATTTCCCTCCCTACATTCGGCCTTAAATATTACCTTTGCTCCCCTCCATCCCAACCTAGCAGGTTGTTCTGCCCTTGTCTTACCAAGTCCTTTTTAGTTATTCACAAATATTAAAACTCAATCTCCCCACAAGAAGTAAAGCTAGTTCCTTTTAGGTTTGAATTTTCAGAAAAAGAAATATCTCATAATTTGTTCCCACAAACATTTATTGAGTACCTATACTAGAAAGAACAAACACTATATAAGATGCTGACAGTAAATGATAAGTAGAAAAACTTATAGCAAATATCCTACCTAAAATGGAAAATCAAGAAGTAGTTTTCTTTTCTTTTTTTGGTTAATCCTCACCCGAGGATATTTTTCCATTGACTTTTAGAGAGAGTGGAAGGGAGGGGGAAAGACAGAGAAACATTGATATGAGAGAGACACATTGATTGGTTGCCTCTCTAACGCCCCTGACCAGGGCCAGGGATCGAGCCTGCAACCAAGGTATGTGCCCTTGACCAGAATCAAACCCGAGACCCTTCAGTCCATGGGCCTATGCTCTATTCACTGAGCCAAACTGACTAGGGCCAGAAGTAGTTTCTTTAACATAAGGAAAAAGAAAAACAAAAAAAAAAAACTCTATCATCATCACTGTGTAAAACATTACTAGAGGTGCTGATTAATTTATTACAATAACTTGATATGTTTAAGAACTGGAAGGAGCCCTGACTGGTTTGGCTCAGTGGATAGAGCGTCAGCCTGCAGACTGAAGGGTCCCAGGTTCGATTCCAGTCAAGGGTATGTACCTTGGTTGCGGGCACATCCCCAGTAGGGGATGTGCAGGAGGCAGCTGATGGATGTTTCAAACTCTATATTCTTCTCCCTTCCTCTCTGTAAAAAATCAATAAGATATATTTTTTAAAAAAAGAACTGGAAGTACTCAGTTGTCTTTATTTATATTTACCTAGAAAATCCAATGAAGTGACAAGTTACTAGATCTCCTAAGATTATTCAATAAAGTTCGCAGAAATAAGAGCAACATAAAAAATAAACCCAGAGTTCCTCCAAATCAGCAAAAATCAATTACAAAATATAACAAGATACCATTCTAAGATCACATAAAATTTTCATGGGGGGAAAAAGTAAAATTCTATAAAAGGACACCAAATATATATAACATGTTCATGGAAAGATTACCTCGAATATTTCAACCTATCCCCAAGTTACTCAATAAATTCAAAGCAATTCCAACAAAAATTATTTTAAGTTTTAGACAACTTTAAAATTAAAAAAACAACAACAAAGAAACACTTTACTAGGTAGTAAGACAGCCTACAAAGCCAGAGTAATAAAATTTTTTAAAAAGATGATGACATCAGTTTGACATGCTTGGTTTACAGCAATATGGTACCCATGATACCCTGAACAAATCTAAAAACCACCTTTTAAAAGCAATCTTTAGAAAACAACAGCCCTGGACGGTTTGCTCAGTGGATAGAGCATCGGCCTATGGTTCGATCCCTGGTCCTGTGCGGGAGGCAACCAATCATGTGTCTCTCTCACATCGATGTCTCTCTTTCTCTCTGTCTCTCCCACTCTGTTCCAGTCTCTCTAAAAATCAACGAAAAAATAGCCTCAGGTGAGGACTAACAAAAGAACAACAACAAAAAACCCACAACAAACAAAATTAAAAAACAACAAAAGTATAGACAAAAAAATAAATGTAAAAAAAGGAAATAAAAGCAATCTTTGACCTAAGAATGTAGAAATCCTCAAGGAACGAGATTAAATAAAGGCTTGAAATCCAGTGAGATAACCAAGTGCTCCATCTGCTTTCACCCGTGTGGCAGGTGTCAAACCTGGTAACCGTGCAATTCTGTTTTTGAAGGTAGTGCGGGATACATGAAACAAACGTTAGATTCAGGTGTTGTCTAATCAGATACCCTCCAATATAAATCTGGAACCCCAAATGCCTATAGCTATAAGCACAATGATAAACCAAAAATAAACCTGTACCAAAGAAAGGGACAGTCAGATAGAAAACATCACCTCTGTAAATTCATTACCACAAGCCTGCCTTTCCAGTACAATTCACATTACTCATGTAAACAACAAAAAAGCATGCTGAGAATTAAAAGTAGTCCTTGTGGCAGTGGCATCTCAGAGTCTACATGGAAGCAAGTATTTCCCTTTTTGAAGGAATATGCCTTGTACCCATACCTCAAAAACTTTCCACACGTGACGTTTCCAAAAACTCATAGTTTAAATAACACACACAAAATCCAAAAGTAAACAAGGTACCTCAATTAGCAAGTGTCAGAAAAAATTACAGAAAAATCAGCAAAAAGAATGACAAAGTACTTAACGTGTTTAAGAGAATTAAGGCAAGTTCTGAAATGAATAAGGAGCAAGAGATTTATAAGTAAACAAGTGGACTTAATTGTTTTTATTATTATTTTTAACCTTATATGAGGATATGCTTGAAGAAAGAAAGGAAGAGAGAGAAACATCAATCGCTGCCTCCATCTGCCCTCGAGCGAAGAGCAAACCCACACCCCAGGTATGTGCCCTGACCAGGAACCAAACTGGCAACCTGTCTGTGCACAGGACAACGCTGTGCACCAACTGAGCCACTCAGGCAGGGCCCCAGTGGACTTTAAAAAGAATCAAAGTGAAATTATCAAAATAAAAAACATAAGCATTCCAATTGAAATATCAATGGGAAAAAAGACAAAGAACGCATATATAATTCAGCAGAGTGATAAAGAGATGGAACTTAGTGAAAAAACCTAGCATATATATCTAAGTAGGACCCCATAATGACAATGGAGAGAATGGAGAAGAGACAGTATCTGAAAGAGATATTTTGAAAATGTTCTAGAGCTAAAGAAAGTTAACAACCCTAGAATTTAAGATGACCAATTAATCCCAAGCAAGATAGAGTATTATAAATCTAGACACCCTGAAATAACACAGCACCACCAATAAATGGAACACACAATTTTAAAAATTCCTTTTATAAATAGTGACATAAAGCACTTATATTTGTTCTTTAAGATGCACAAGACCTTTATGGAGAAAATGTAAGTAACTGAAAGACACCAAAAAATGACCTAAAAATTAGATACTGCCCTGCACATTAGTTGGAGCGTTGGCCCGCAGACTCGGGTCTCGGGTTCGATTCCCAGTCAAGGGCATGTACCTCAGTTACAGGTTCCCCAGCCCTGTAGGGGTGTGAGCAGGAGGCAACCAATTGATGTGTCTCCCTCACATGGATATTTCGCTCTCTCTCACCCCCCTCCCTCCCACTCTCTCTCAAAATCAATGGAAAAAATATCCTTGGGTGAGGATAAACAGAAAAAAAAAAACACACAACTAGATACCATATTAATGGATAGTTAATCTCAATAGTGAGATGTATCTTCTTCCTGATTTAGATTTAATGCAACTTTAATAGGGGGAAAACTGGGAAAAGTCAGAATAGGCCTTTCACAAATGCCTTGAATGTCCAGTAAACATCAGAATATGTTTGACTTCATGAGAAATCAAGAAAATGAAAATTAAAAGCCACAAAGACATAGCCTTGGCCGGTGTGGTTCAGTTGTTTGGGTGTCATCCCCTGCACTGAAAGGTTGCCAGTCCAATTCCGGGCCATGGCATATGCCCAGGTTGTGGCCTGGATCCCAGGAGGTATGCAGGAAGCAGCCTATCAATGTTCACTGTCACATGAATGTTTCTCTCCCTCTCCCTCTCCCTTCCCCTCTCTCTCTCAAAAAGATCAATAAAAAAATCTTCAACAAAAAGGTAACAAAGACACAGCATTTCAAACTGTAAGATCAGCAAAGATGAAATCTAACAGTATCAAGCGTTGGTGAGGACACAGACCAACCTTTTAAGCTGCTATTACTACATTATAGTGTTTCTCAACCCCCAAAGAGCCGTTTTAGAAAAATTTTTCTCAATTTTTACCCCCTCTATTTTAATACCACAGTTATAAAACATATATTTTAATGTATTATGTCCCTTTGGAAGACCAGTCATCATTTTAATATCTAAGTATTTTTCAATCCCCCTTCCCAAGAATCAATTTTCACCACCTTATAAGGGCATGAAAATTAGGAAAACAATTTGGTATTAGATATCCCATTAATAGACAATTCCCCAAAGCTGGCACAGTCAAATAAGATGCAAATGAAAAAGGCAGGTAGAAGGAAAACAAGGATTTCAGAAATCATTAGCATATGATTAAAAATAATGGGAATTTTCACAAATATTTTTAGTAAAATAAAATGCTTTCCTAAGTGCTTTAAGTCAGAGAAAGATTTACTATGTGCTTCTCCTGGAAGAACCTACACTAATAAAAGAGAAATATGCAAATTGACCTTCCCTCCAGGACACCCACAAAGCCAACCAGGAGTGAGTATGCAAATTAACCAGACAAAGCCAATGGATTAATTTGCATATGTAGGCACTGAACTGTGGGGGACAGGGCAGCTACTTGTGTGCATGCCAGCGCCAAGCGGCCTGCGTCCCAGGGACAGGCGTCATCGGGAGCCAGGCCGCTCTGAGCCTATAGGCCCATGTGTAGGCCTGGAGTCTTGGAACGCCCCTGGCCGCTCCAGGCGCCCAGCAGCCAGGGCGGGGCAGGAACATCTCCGGGACCCAGGCACTCTGAGCTGGCACACGCGCAAGCGGCCGGGGGTGGGGCGGGAACGTCCCCCTCAGAGAGCGAGCAGACAGCATGGCCCTGCTTGCCCCTGGCCATGGCAGCGAGGGGCAAGCAGTCTCCCGCAGGGCCCCCACAGAGAGCAGACAGCAGGGCGCTGCTTGACCCTGGCCCCGGCGGCAAAGAGCAAGCAGGCCCCCACAGAGAGCAGACACCAGGGCCTGCAGTGGCGTCAAGCAGGCAGGTCCGCAGAGAGCAGAGAACCACGGGGAGCAGGCTTAAGCCATTAGTAGGACATCCCCTGAGGGCTCCCAGATTGGAGAGGGTGCAGGTCAGGCTGAGGGGACCCCCCCACCCCCGGCATGAATTTCGTGCACCGGGCCCCCAGTTATGTCATAAAATCACTGCAATAGGTGGGACCTTCACATTCCTTAAAACAAGCCATCAAACTTACCTCTACATTTTCATCTCCCATTTCTTGAGGGACGTCAGTGTCTGGTTCAATCACACCCTCATTGTCGATTTCTGCCAAAGAAAAAAATGACACGAGACTATTAAAAACTAATGAACTATAGTTACTACAACTAATTAACTGAATATCTTACTTTATATTAATTTTATTTAAACTAATACATTAGAAAATATTTCTCCATTAAACACAACTTTAGCGTTTTGGTAAGACTACATTTAATTTCAACTGTTAAATTATGTTAAGGCATTTATCAGTGTATTGTAGTGAAAATATTGGCAAGTGCATAGTTTCTAGTATTACACATGATACACCACTGATTTAGTCTGTTTCAACAAACTGATTCAGTTCAAGTATTTTGCTCTACACACCAATGTACTGTAATGTTTAAAAAAAATTTTTTTTTTTGCTCTAGCCAGTTTGGCTCAGTGGATAAGAGTGTCAGCCTGTGGACTGAAGGTCCCGGGTTCAATTCTGGGCAAGGGCACATGCCTGGGTTGCGGGCTCCATCCCCAGTAGGGGGCGTGCAGGAAGTAGCTGATCAATGATTCTCTCTCATCATTGATGCTTCTATCTCTCTCCCTTCCTGAAGTCAAAATAGTTTTTTAAAAATATTGTATGCAGATAGCACAAGTTACAGAGATACTTTGATGTAAATCATGATGAAAAGCTTAATATTAATGTAATTTTATTTTAAAAAGTTTTGATAAATTTTCATTTTAAAATAAAGGCATAATACTGATGCAGTCAAGCCCCAAAGCTAGCACACTATAATCAAAATAGTGAAGAAAGACTGGAAAGAGGTATGTATATGGTAAATTTCATAATGGGCAACCATAATTTGCTACAGCAAATCTAGCAAAATAATGGATGGGGATATATATATATATATATATATATATATATATATATATATGGAAACTTTTGCCCTGGCTCACTTGACTCAGTGGTTAGAGCGACAGCCCTTGGACTGAAGGGTCTCGGGTTCGATTCCGCATCAAGGGCAAGTACATCGGTTGCAGGTTTGATGCCCAGGTCTGGTCGGGGCACATATGGAAGACAACCAACCCATACGTCTCTCATGTCATATTTCTCTCTCTCTCCCCCCCCCCCCCCCGCCCCACTCTCCCTAAAAATCAATGGAAAAAATATCCTGGGTGAGGATTAACCAAAAAAAAACAACCAACCAAAACAAAACCCACCAAAAAAAACAGAGAGAGAATAATTTTTTTGGTTCTCAGTGCCATTACTGGAAAACTTTTACATATGTTTGGAACAACTTGGGTAACCTGACCCAACTTTTCAACTACACATTTCATAAAGTCTCAATACAAATCTAGTACTTTAACTAAAAATGTAACATCTGCATTGAGATATGCTACAAATGTTAAAATACATTCTGGATTTTGAAAACTTAGTATGAAAAAGATCTCGTTAATTATCTTTCCAGCCCTGGCCGGTTTGGCTCAGTGGACAGAGCGTTAGTTAGCCTGTGGACTGAAGGGTCCCAGGTTCGATTCCGGTCAAGGGCATGTGCCTTGGTTGCGGGCCTATCCCCAGTGGGGGGTGTGCAGGAGGCAGCTGATGGATGTTTCTTTTTTTTTTTTTTTAAATATATTTTATTGATTTTTTTACAGAGAGGAAGGGAGAGAGATAGAGAGTTAGAAACATCGATGAGAGAGAAACATCGATCAGCTGCCTCCTGCACACTCCCCACTGGGGATGTGCCCGAAACCAAGGTACATGCCCTTGACCGGAATCGAACCTGGGACCCTTGAGTCCGCAGGCCAACGCTCTATCCACTGAGCCAAACCGGTTTTGGCTGATGGATGTTTCTAACTCTCTATTCCTCTCCCTTCCTCTCTGTAAAAAATCAATAAAAAAAAAAAGTATCTTTCCATATTGACTACATATTAAAAAGTTAATATTTATAAGTTTAAATATATTATTTCAGTTAATTTCACCTACTTTTTAAAATGTGGTTGCTAGAAAATTTTAAGTTTCATATGTAGCTCACATCATATTTCTAATACACAGCGCCGATTTAGTGCTATTAGAAAAAACACAGGATCTTATCATGAGGGTTATCAAGTACAAACTACCATCTCACCTAGGTCACTTTCCTCACTTGATGGTTCATCTGTCTTTATGTCTTCCTCCACCTTCTTTCTATCTGTTTTTTCCTCCTAGCAAAGGGAAGGCACACAATACTGTCAGTATGTAATAACACACCCAATATATCTATACTAATTTATACAGTTTTATGTATAAACTATTCACATGCATTAGATTTCATGCATACTGCCTTTCTTGTTTTGTTCTGGTAAATGAGTTTTGGTTTTCTGTTTTCATTTCTTTTAAAGTTTTATGTAGGTCCAGCCCCTCATCCAAACCTTTTAGATAATCTGTTTTAGGATTTAAAATATTTTGGATTTTAGAAAGCGAATACAGATGCATATACAATTGTAACACCTTCAAAAGACACTGAAGCCCACAACTCTCCATAATCAAACACATTACTTCTGCAAAATAAAGTTTGAGCACTCATAATAAGTGGGATTAAAACTATTAATAGCCTTGCCCTTTTCAGGTGGCTCAGTCAGTTGGAGCATTGTCCTACACACCAAAAGGTTGTGGGTTCGATTCCCAGTTAGGGCACACACACCTACATTGTGGGTCTGATCCCAGGTGGAGGTGCGTATGGGAGGCAACCTTTTCTCTCTCATATCTATGTTTTTGTCTCTCCCTCTCTCTAAAAATCAATAGGAAAACATATCTTGGAGTGTGCCCTGGCAGGTGGGGCTCAGTTGGTTGAGCGTAGTACCGTGGACTGGGGTGGTAGGGGGCATGCAGGAGGGGGCTGATTGATGTTTCCCTCTTCTCCCTCTCCTTTCTGCTCTCTCTAAAATCAACAAAAACGTATTTTAAAAATAATAATAAAATAAAATGTTAAGTAGCCCCATGTTTATTCAGAGGTTTTATGGTCAAACAAACCAACTAAAAAATTTTATATTTTCAAGGGTTTTTTAGTTTTGGAATTCCCAATAAGGAACCATGGAACTGTAATACACAAATGATGAAAATTCAAAGAATTTAAAGAGTGCATCTGAATTTCCTTCCCATCCTGTAAGTAGCCAGTGTGGTTTGAATATCCATTCGTTGAGTCTCTACCATGTACAAGGTGCCAGATGCTGTACCATATACTGAGAAACGTATCAGTCACAATTTCTAAGTCAGAATGTTTTCATTACCAAAATTTTCTTTAGCAGAGGAGAGGTATAGGGTTAGTATACTTCTGTTTTAATACATGTTGATCACATGGCAAAATAATCCTACCTAGGGCTCAGAAACTATCAAACTCTGACAAATGACTTCTCTAAGAAAATAATTACTTTTGGAGCTTTGGCTTTACTTCTTTCATTTCACTTGTTCAAAGATATAACTTCTACTTTCATATAAAAATAGATAAACCTAGTTTAGGATTCTAAATAAAACAGTAACACCATGAATCATACTCAAAAATATCTCTCATGTGGTAGCACAGAATAAATTGGGAATTACTGATTTTGACTATTTGTTCATTTACTTGGCAAAATTAATAAAGTATTCACAATGCATAAAACACTGTGCTAAATGCTAACTATACAATGTTGAAGACTAAAAATGCACTTAATCACTGAGCTTGCCACTTACAGGTCATGTATAGAGAGTATTTATTCTAAAACACAGTGAACATTCAACCCCAAATTCTCAGTTTTAAATCAGTTTTCAGGGATTTGATGTCCAAATAGAAATTTTACAAATATCTTATTTCCAAGTGATCTTGGGGAAATCAACAGTGGTAATTTGAGAGCAGCAGTTAAAAAAATATCCCTAAGAGCCCTAGCCAGTTTGGCCCAGTGGAATAGAGTGTTGGCCCACAGACTGAAGGGTCCTAGGTTTGATTCTGTTCATGGGCACGTACTTCGGTTGCAGGCTCAATCCTCAGGCCCAGTTAGGACTTATAAGGAGAAAATCTATAATCTGAGGAGGCAAACAATCGATGTATCTCTCTCACATCAATGTTTCTCTCTCTCTCCCCCCCTCCCTTCTACTCTAAAAAAATCAATGGAAAAATATCCTCAGGTGAGGATTAAAAAAAAGAAGTTCCTAAGAAACCTTATAGTAGTTTACTACTGAACATACAAATAAAACTCATAACTTACCTTATTTTCTTCTGATTTAGTTTTATGAGTAGCAGGTGGTATTTTACCTCCCATGCTTGAGGAAGATGAGAAAAAAAAATATTTGTTTAGAAAAAGTAAAATTCACTAAGCCAAGCAACATTTTTTATGCTAGAAAAAAAAAACGTTAGACATTCAGATGATTACTCTTTTCAAACTTTAAAGCAGGGGTAGGCAACTGTTTTTTCTGCCCAGGGCCATTTGGATATTTATTACATCATTTAAGGGCCATCCAAAATTATCAACTTAAAAATTAACCTGCTATTGGTAAAACATTTAATTAACTCACCTCTAATGCCTTGGCAGGGCCAGACTATAAAACGTTCCCCACCCCTTGCTTTAAAGAGTAAAAACTCAGATTAATCTGACTGATTCAGCATTATGATTTTTTTAGCTTAAAATTTTTTTAGCATACCGGCTAATGAAAATTAAGCCTAATGAACAATCACACAGCTTCTCTGTGTCCATTCCAGGAAAAAAGAAAAACATACAATGACAAAATCATTTTAACAAGTTGTTAGTTTAGAATTCAGAAGATATATTAAAGTCCAGTTAAGAGTGCAATTAAATTTAAAAAGGCCATTTAGGAAATAATTATGAAGTCATTGTATAATTCAAAACGTTTGTTTCCTTTGATTGGGACCTATTAAAGATTCTTCTTGCTTACATTCACATGCCCCTCAGATTATAGATTTTCTCCTTATCTCCTCTAAACTTTACCCATCAGTACTTCCTCTTGGAATTGGCAAGCCCTTTTCTCCCAAAATGTTCCAAGGCAACACCATGAATTACAAACAGCAGGTCTTCATGTAACATTGTTATAAAGTTGGTGAGATGCTGTAAAAACTTAACTCTTGTTTATATCAATTAGCCTATAGTAAAATTGATTTCATTACATGTCCTCTTACTTAAAGTTGAAGAATCTATTGCCCAACCAGTGTGGCTCAGTGACTGAGCATTAACCTATGAACCAAGAGGTCACTGTTCAATTCCCGGTCATCTGACCCAGTTGCGGGCTCATTCCCAGTGTGGGGCATGCAGTAGGCAGCCAATCAATGATTCTCTCTCATCAATGATGTTTCTCTCCCTTTCTCTCTGAAATCAATAAAAATTATTTAGAAAGAAAAAAAAACTATCAATGTTAGGTGAGGACTAACTGTACAAATAACTTTAAAACAAATGAAAATAAGATTACAAAAAATTAGTGCTATATGCTCCATTTGGGGCAGGCTATGAAGCATATCAGCTATATGCAACAGTGCAATAATTAAAATATTCAGTGGATTAAGGGCACTCCACAATAGTAAAAGCTGGAGGTCACAAAGACTTAACTAAAATTTGCTTTAAAAAAAACTATTAACTTTTGTGTAAAACAAAGAGATACAATAACTTGGAAAATAGAAAGGAACCTACTCTAAAACACCCGTAAGTGTTTCTTCTTCTTTTTTTTTTTTTAAACATTTTTATTGATTTCAGAGAGGAAGGGAGTGGGAGAGAGAGCGAGAGAGAAACATCAATGAGAGCGAATTGTTGATCGGCTGCCTCCTGCACACTCCACACTGAGGATCAAGCCCGTAACTCAAGCACGTGCCCTGACCAGGAATCAAACCCTGATCTCCTGGTTCATAGGTCAATGCCCCACTACCGAGCCACGCCGGCTGGGCAGGGTTATTCTTTTTTTTAAAATTGACTTTTACAGAGAAGGGAGAGGGAGATAGAAACATCAATCGGCTGCGGCTGCCTCCTGTACACCCACTACTGGGGATAAATTATGTTAAAGCTTCAGCAAGTGACAGATCTGTCAGATGTATTAAGTGCCTTGACTAGTGTGGCTCAGTTAGTTGGGCGTGGCCCCGTGCACCAAAGAACTACCAGTTCAATTGCCGGCGAGGGCACATGCCCAGGTTGCAGGCCTGATCCCCAGCAGGAGATGGCCAATGGATGTTTCCCTCTTACATCAATATTTTTCTCTCTCCCCCTCCTTCTCCTTTCCTCTCTCTAAAAAAAATCAATCAAAAAAAATTTTTTTTAAAAAGATGGCCCTAGCGTTTCACTCAGTGGCTAGAGCATTGGCCTGTGGACTGAAGGAAATTCTACAAAATAACTGGCCTGGCAGCCATAATTCTTTTAATTCGATAACATTCAATCTACTTTGTGCTATAGTTACTTAAGCACATGTTAAAAAAACAAACACTGGGTGCTATAGTCTAAATTAATTGAGCCCGGCTGGCTATGAACTGGGAGGTCAACATTCAACCACAGAGCCACTGTCTCTTCTCCCTTCCTCTATGAAATCAATAACTATATATAAAATAAAATAAATTCATTGAGGTTAGAAGGCTTTCTGCTCATGTCATTTAAAATTTTTACTCAAGCCTTGGCCAGGTCGTTCAGTTGGCTAGGTAGGTCAGTTGGTCAGTTGGGGGTTTGATTCCCAGTCAGAGCACATACAAGAATCAACCAATGAATGAATAAGTGGAACAATACATCGATATTTCTCTTTCTCTCTCTCAAATCAATAAAACTTACTAAAAAAGCACACACAAGATACAAAGTAGACCAAGCTGTTAAATGGGAGAAAATAAAGTCAGACACTGCTTCTCCCTCTAGAAAAACAAAAATATGCCAAAACATATTTGTTAAAGAGAATATAGTCTTCCTGAGCCCCCATTGTCTATTGTGCCAAATACTTTTTCTTCATATCTTGTCAAATTTAAAAGCTTATTAGCCGTAACCGGTTTGGCTCAGTGGATAGAGCGTCGGCCTGCGGACTGAAAGGTCCCAGGTTCGATTCCGGTCAAGGGCATGTACCTTGGTTGCGGGCACATCTCCAGTGGGGGGGGTGCAGGAGGCAGCTGATCAATGTTTCTCTCTGATCAATGTTTCTGACTCTCTATCCCTCTCCCTTCCTCTCTGTAAAAAAATCAATAAAATATATTTTTTAAAAAATAAAAGCTTGTTAAATTAACGAATCCTCAACATCAACTAAAATGTTAAGCTATAAACAATGGTAGACATGACAAGTAAGCAAATATCCTTTGCTGTCTGAGCTTGGGCATCTATGACTAATCTAGTATGGAAAGAACTCTGAAATGGTTTCAACCTGAGGAACCCTCATAGTAGGATTAGGCCTGGGAATATTCCTAGACTACAAGTCTCCACATTCAGACAGATCTCCTATAATCTTGGAATGCTTTAAGACTTATATGAAGGGAGACAAGAGAGGAACTAATACATCTCAAGCAAAGGCCTCACCTCAGAGAATACAAAAGTTTTCATTTAGATTGAAACACAGATAGCAAACATCTATATTAATATTTCAATCTAAGTTCAGAATAAGGTTCCTAACACATGCCAAGATGCTTCATCCCATACTTGTGTCATCCCACAATTTAGAATGACACAAAGAAAATATAAAAACTGGAATTACCTATGGGAAACATTAAAACACATGGTTAACTTTTAAAAATAATGCCTGATAATATTTTCCAGAACTTAAACTGGAATTTTCATAGCCATAATCACTCCAGCATAAGTTACAACATCCTATATAATAAAAGCCTAATATGCAAATTGACCAAATGGCAGTAAGACCAGTCACTATGATGAGCACTGACCAGCAGGGGGCAGACACTCAACTCAGGAGCTGCCCCAAGCCAGCAGGCCCCAGGCCAGCCAAGGCGGGTGAGAGCAGGGGGCCCCTCCAATCATCCCGCTGAGGGAAGCGACTGGCAGCCGTGGCGGGAGGCGGGGCCAGCAAGTGGGTGGCGCCAGGCCGGCCAAGGCAGGTGCCAGTGGGGGGCCCAACGGTCACCCCACAGATCGGCCCTGATCGCAGGCCAGGCCTAGGGACCCTACCTGTGCACAAAAATTATGCACAGGCCTCTAGTTGTTCTTACAAGTTTTAACATTTTCTTCAATATCCCCTTTTTTTCTCTAGGAATAGAACTAAACATTGTTATCCACTCAGTATAATATTCACTCTTAGTGCCAGCTTTTTCTTCCTATGGTATGTCTCTGCTTTACCTGGAATTTTAGGAACAATTTATTAATTGTAGGCACTTTCCTTGAATGAGTAGTTATAAGAGGGCAAGAGTAAGTGACGCTTTTGGATCAGGTTATTATTAACAGGAGTTATTTAGTTACTATAGTAACTAATTTTAAGTGTTCTCAGAATTTCGTATGTATATATGTATATGTATGTGTGTGTGTGTGTGTGTGTATATATATATATATGTGTGTGTGTATATATATATATATATATCATGAGCAAAAAACTTATAGTAGCGCCCTGGCCGGTGTGGCTCACTTGGTCGGAGGCTGTTCACACATTATGGTTCCAATTCTGGTCAGGACACATACTCAGGTTGCGGGTTCGATGTTTCTCTCTTCCTTCCTCTCTCTCAAATCAGTTAAATACATACATAAATAAATAAATAAGTAAAATCTTAATAGTAGCTAGAAAACTGGTGAGGGGAAATAAGGGCTTAAAAACTTCTTACAGGACATTATACCCTCATAGACAACATTGAGAACAAGCTTGTTGGAGGAAACAGTCTTTCCAATACTTGTTAATCATGGGTTCATCTTCCCCTATAAAAATATTACTAACGTAAACACACCCATGTTTAGGGAATCACCTCTTAGAAGTCATATTGCCTTGCACTGTCGCTATTTACCACGAAGCACAGTTTGTAGGTTATCTCTTTTTTAAAAAATATGTCTTTCTTTATTGATTTCAGAGAGGAAGAGAGACGGAGAGATAGAAACATCAATGATGAGAACCATTGATCAGCTGCCTCCTGCACAACACCCACTGGGGACCGAGCCCGCAACCCCGGCACGTGCCCTTGGCCACAATCGAACCTGGGACCCTTCAGTCCACAGGCTGATGCTCTACCCACTGAGCCAAGCCGGCCAGGGCGGTTATCTCTTTTAAATTCCCCACCAGTGGTAGTGATTTTTAAAAACCATTTCAGGGCAGATTTCCTTCCTGTATTTATTCATCTGTATCCCTAGAGTGTGCTGTTTCCTAGCATCTGGCACGATGCCTATGCAATTAATTCCGTGCACATAGCGAAGCACTCTAAAGATAATAAGCACAGATCATGGAAACACACCAGTCCCTGAAAACTCTCTTTTCTTCTTCTTTTTTTTTTTTTAGTGTTTGGAGTGATGGCACTGCCGAGATAGAAGTGATTCCCAAAATAATCCTACGCAATTAGAATCGCTGTAGTTTTAAAAGCAATTAAACACAGCTATCATTTTTGCAACTTATGGCATAAGCAACCAATATTACAACACCGTTTCAAGGCATCGTCCGTAAAGGAGCTGCTGTGCGACACTGCAACCTAAGCAGGACACGAGAGACTTCAAGAAAAACAACTCCGTGCAACTCTCAACCTTCCCCTCGTGACCAGTGCCCAAGTCCCGGCATTTATACTGCGCCCCAGACACACCCCTGGCGACTTGAGCGCGCAGGGCCAGGCTCGGCGTCTGTACTCAGGGACCCGATTCTCCACGAGCCCCTGCAAGTGGCCTCCCTTTCCCGGCCAAGGGAGCGAGCCCCACAAAGAGGCGGCGACTCCGCGGGTCTCCGTCGCGGACCTGCCCACGCCTCCGCCCCGCGCCAGCTCCGGCCCAGCTGCCCCTCCACGCGTCCCGGTTCCCACCCTCAACGGCCCTCAGGCCGGGGTCTCACCTCTCCACCCACTCCCGCAGGAAGCGCATTTCCTCGCTGTGCAGGACGCTCGGGTCCTGCCTACACATCTTCACGAAGGCCCGGAGCTCGCTCACTTTGCGGGGGTCCATGGCGGGGAAGCGGGGGCAGGCGGCGGGCGCGGCGAAGGCGGCGGCGGGGTTGCAGGGACAGGCGCTCCCTCGGCCACACCGTGTGGAAGGGGGCGGCAGCCGCGAGGCAGAACAGACTAGAACTTCCCCGGCCGCCGGCTCCGCCCACCAACGGTCTCGTGACCCCGGGTCCTTCGCCGGTTCATTCCGACTCCCCTTCACCTCCACTCCAGCGCACTGGTTAGAAGCTTCTAGAAGTGTGGCTGTTCGCGCCGTTGCCTGCCCCTTTAACGCACGCTTTCTTCCATTCTCAACTCCGAACCAATTCTCTGGGTGGAACCACTGGCTACATGGTGCTTTCCAGGAGGCGGGACCGAGCAGCCCCTGCCGGGAGTCACTTAGAAGCCGACGTTCTGTGACTGTGAGCGTTTAGTGGAGCGTGACGTCATGACGCCACCCAGGCCATCTGGGCAGAGCGGTGGTCAGCCACAGCTCCGGCGTGACGTCAGCGCCTGCGCCGCCTCGGGAGAAAAGCCCGGCGAGCAGCGCCGGCCGGAAGGGGCGGGGCGCTTGGCTCGGTTTCCTGGCGACGCAGCCCTGCGGGCGGCCGCTTTCCCCGCCGTTCTCCTCCTCTCCTTCCTGACGCGTGTGCGCGGCCGGCATGCCTGGGCTACTCTCAGCAGCTAAGCTGGTTCCCGCTGTAGCGAGCGCCCGCAGCCTCTCAGGTTAGACTCACCTCCCACGGGGTGTCCTCCACGGTTTGCTCCCTGCGAAGCCTGAGGCGCCCCAGAGGGATCCAAGTTGGTCTCAGGGCGATCGCTGGTTCGGCGGACCCTTCTGCTGGGGCCCCCACTCCTAAACCCTGCGTGCGCTCCTCGGATCTCTCTACCGGCCGCTCCCGGGAACGGGTGGGCCCTGTGTTCTCCCTCCCGTTAAGGTGTTCTGAAAGCTGCACTGACTGCAGGGAACCAAGTGGGGCCATCCCCTAGCGGGGCTGTCTTCAAAGTGACGTGGACCCAGAATTTGTGTCAGTTCTCCCGTTTGCTTAGGTGTCAGAGTGACTCCTTAGCAGCAGCTCTTGTTTCTGTTCGTTAACCTAAAATTCTATTTTCGTGTTGTTAGAGAGTTTGATTTAAAAACCGGGTCCAGAATGTGCAACAAACATGGTTAGTAACACAAGTCCTCTCACAAGAGGTAATGTTTGGAAATAATTCTCTTTGTGTCTGAACTCCCTGTTTGTAAAGACAAGGTGAAGAAGTCAGGAATAAGGGGGGCAGTCTTCTAGGGTGTATCTAGAGCAGTTGATCTCATGAACATAGAACTTGGTCAGTGAAAGCTGAATCATCTACGTTGCAGGTGCATCTGCCATTGGATCAGATTTCGGTTTTGGGGGGCGATGTGTGAACAGTGAGTGAACCCGAACATACGGTATTTGACATCAAAGCTATGTCTTGGCATATGTTTCTGATTCTGGTGGTATACTTGAATTTATTGCAAGTGGAATGGTAATTAAATCAAGACTTGCTCTACTTACTCTAAAAAATAAAATAAAAGGTAATCATCGTCCAGTGCACAGACCTCGCTCCAGTTCTGCAGAAAGCTTCCCTTCCGTGGGAGTGGGCGAATAGATGTGCAGTTAGACTTTTTTTTTTTAATTGAATTTATTGGAGTCACATTGGTTAATAAAATTATATAGGTTTCAGGATTACAGTTCTATAATACGTCATCTGTACATTGTATTGTGTGTTCACCATCCCAAATCACAATTAGTCAGTCTTAATCACAGAGGCCACAACCTCTGATTTAGAGCTGGAACCATCCTTTGCTTGTGACTTTTTTTTTTTTGTATTTATTAAGACTTTGTGTAAAACCCAATTAATCAAGGATAGGACTAGATACTTTATTATATACACCAAGATCTTTCCAAAAGATACTATACTTCATTTTGCCTCAATAAAATACGTAAATTTAGCCACCTCTTATATTATCATTTTTATACTATATACATAGGCTTTTTGAATAAATGAGTGATCTACTTGGTTCTTCACAAGTCCATTAAGTTAGGGCAGATACTCTTAGGTTACTAACAGGGCAACTGAAACTAACACAAGCTCACAAGTAGCAAGTCAGGAATGTTGCCAGCTGGTCCTTTTTCAGTTATATCACTGGGTCTTACTCTGGCTTAGTAGAGTCCTTTTGGAACTTTTTATTGAGCCACAATGACTACTAATTCAATAACCTTTGAGTTAGTAGTCATTGTGGATGAATCTCCACTTCCCTGGAGTTGCTCAAGTCTAGCCAGAGTGATAAACAATAGGTAAGTGGCAGTATAGCAAAGAATGGTGAGAGAGTCTTGACTCAGGGGACATGGGAGCTCAAAAAGGGCACTACTGGGCTGTAAGTCTTATGTTCTCCTGAGATTTTACTAAGTTTTAGAATTTGAAAACTCCTCTGACTTGAGGTGCTCATAAATAGGACTTTTTAGTGTCTGTGGTGCTCTTGGTTGCCCTTTTTTAGAAAGGCTCTGGGTACAAAGTTTTGAATACCGTCATAGGAAACTTTCTCATCTGTGAAAGTCATACAGTTAAGAGTGTGATTTAATTGGTTGGTATATGCAAATATTAACACAATCTAGTCATCTGAGAAAAAGCAAAATCAAGCACTTGATGCATAAATAAGCTGTATTTTAAAATACTACATCTAAGATAAATATAAGACTGAGATAGGGAAGGAAAATATTGAAAATATTAAAGAATAGCTCTGGCTGGGTTGCCCAGAGGATCGTCCCAGTACGCCAAGGTGGTGGGTTTGATCTCCGGTCAGAACACATACAGGAATCAACAAATGCAGACATAAATAAGTGGAACAACAAATCGATGTTTCTCTCTCTCTCCCTTCCTTTCTCTCTAAAATCAATCAATTTTTAATAAGAAAATATTAAAGAATAAATAGAATAATTTTTAAAGCTTATTTGCAGTTAATTCACGCAACAAACATTAATTGAGCACCACATATTAGCACTGAGCCCAAAAAGTTTTTACCATCACAAGAGACAGACAAATAAAAGCAAGTAATTGTGATATAACATGAAATTTAGTCATAGATACCCAGTAGTGGGGAGAAGGAAAAAGTGATGCATATTCTCTGGAAGCAAGGAGGGGCTAAGCGGAAATGTGGGCATGCCTTTAAAAATTAGGAGATAATTGATTTAAGACGCCCTAACCGGTTTGGCCCAGTGGGTAGAGCGTCGGCCTGAGGACTGAAGGGTCCCAGGTTCAATTCCAGTCAAGGGCATGTACCTTGGTTGTGGGCACATCCCCAGTAGGGGGTGTGCAGGAGGCAGCTGATCGATGTTCCTCTCTCATCGATGTTTCTAACTCTCTATCCTTCTCCCTTCCTCTCTGTAAAAAATCAATAAAATATATTTTTAAAAAAAATAAAGTAGTCACCAGCCTGGCTGTTGTGGCTCACAGGTTGAGCTTCGACCCATGAACCAAGAGGTCACTGGTTCAATTCTCAGTCAGGACACATTTTCGGATTGTGGGCTCAATCCCCAGTAGGGGTCGTGCAGAAGGCAGCTGATTGGTGTTTCTCTTTAAAAAAAAAAAAAAGACCTGAAAAGAAGGCTTTCGCCAAGCAGACTGGAGTAATGGAGCTAACTCATACAGAATGGTTAAGAGGCACAGAACTCATACAGAATGGGTGTTGCAAAGCTTTGCAATTGTTAATAAGCCTGGAGAAGCCTTTTTTGAAATATGTTCCCAGGCACATTAATAGGTGTTACACCAACATGGTTCTGTGGCATAAGTACAGGGCATGCTGCATTTCACAGTGCCCATGGTAAACCAAGTCTGGGTCTCTTTAAGGGAAATGTATTTGGCAGTACTAATTTGCAAAATGTATTTGACCATGGAGCCCTTTTTCTGTGGTGAGTCTTGAACTGGTATCCCTTGGAGCACATTTTGGAAAAACTTGGGCTCAAGCCTAAGATGTGTAGGAAGAGGGAATAGAAAATAAAGTTGAGAAGGAAGCTGATGGCTAGTTCCTGGAAGACCTTGTATATTATGTTAAGAAACAATGAGCAGAGCCCTGGCAGAGTAGCTCAGTTGGTTAGAGTATCATCCATATACACTAAGGTTTAGGGTTTGATCCTTGGTTAGGGCACATGCCCAGGTTGTGGGCTGGATCCCCAGTAAAGGGTATGCAGGAGGGCAGTAATTGATGTATCACTATCACGTTGATGTTTCTCCCTCCCCCTTTCTCTCTCCCTAAACATCAATAGAAACATATTTTATAAAATAATAAAATAACCTAGGCTTTTAGGATTTTACTAGTAGCCCGGTGCATGAAATTCGTGCACATTAAAAGGGAATTAATTAGAGGAAATATTTTAATATTGCTATTTGCCCTTTCTTTATAATATAAGTGTCAGAAATGAATGAAAATTAGTAAAATGTATATGAAAATCTCCTTCCTGTCAGAGTCTGGGGCGCGCCGAGGGACCAGAGTCAAGTCCCCACCTACCTGCACGCGCCTCAAAATTGCGTGAGACCCAGACCAAGCCAGCCCCACTCCCATTGGGCGAGACCCAGACCCGGCCGGCCCCACCCCTGTCAAGCCCCGCTGGGCAGGGGGCGCAGCTTCAGGTCCCCCGTCAAGCCCCACTGGGCAGGGGGTGCAGCTTCAGGTCCCCTGTCAAGCCCCTCATGATCCGTCGTTAATGGCTTGACTCCGTGATGATCATTTGCATATTAGCCTTTTATTATTATGATTTTCTGAAAATAAGTTTTAGTGCTAATTGTCACCAGTACCTCCTATAGAATAATGACCTTTCCTTCTCACCCACCTACCAACTTAAACAAAACAAATCTTACACTACTATAAATCATTTAAAAATAGTAGAGCCCAGCCAGTGTGGTTCAGTGGTTGACTTGACCCAGGAACCAGGCGGTCTCGGTTGGATTCCTGGTCAGGGCACACACCAGGCTTGATCCCAAGTAAGGAGCATGGAGGAGGCAGCAGATCGATGATTCTCTCTTATCATTGATGTTTCTATCCTTCTCTCCCTCTGCCTTCCTCTTTCTGAAATCAATAAAATATAAAAAATAATAGATATTATAATTTTTTTCTGGTTTCCAAATTTGTTGCACTGCTTAATATCACTGAACTTTCTTTTGCTAAAGGTGATTGGGTTTTAGTGCTGCTAGATTATTTGCTCCTATCCTTTAGTTACATTAAAACTTAATTATAATAATTATATTTCTAAGGACGAAAAGATTTAAATTACATCAATAGGTCTTATTGCTTAAAAAGGAAGAATTCAGTGACAAGTAACATGCAGGATACAAGTCAATGCAGCATTTCTTTCCGGGTGCTTAATAAAATTAAGCGTCTCAAATGTAGCCCGTCCAAAACTTAACACCTGCAGCCCTTTTCTCAGATAATAGCAACTCCCTGCTTCCAGTGGCTAAGGCAGAAAACCTTGACTCTTATCATATTCAACATCCAGCCTGTTAGCAAATTCTGTTTGGCCCTACCTTTAGAATGTCCAGAATTTGACCACTCTTCACCCCCACCACCCTGGACCAACCTACTACAATCTCTTGCCTGGATTGTGGCAATAGCTTGATGTCTCTGCTTCTATCCCTGCATACTTTGGGTCTCTTTTCAATGCCAGCAGCCAGAGTGGGCCTTTTTAAATTTGTCAGATTATGTCACTCTTCTGATCAAAGCCTCCAGTGGCTTCTGTCCCACATATAATAACAAAGTCCATGTTGTGATCTAGCAAACCCTGCATGACCTTTCTTACTTCATTTACTTGCTCTTTTAATCGGCTACCACTGAACTTCTCCATTTTCTCAAACAGCTGCCTTAAGAATGTTTCATTTGCTATTCCTTCTGCCTGGAGTTCTATCTTACCAGGTATACACATGGCCAACTCCTTCACTCTTGACTCAGATTTAACTATCACTTTTCTCTGGCTACTTTAGCTAAAATATCAGCTCTTGGCCTGGTTGGTGTGGCTCGGTTGGGTGTCCTTTGCACTGAAAGGCTGCCGGTTCAATTCCCAGTCAGGACACATTCCCAGGTTGCTGGCTTGATCCCTACTAAGGGGGCGTGCAGGAGGCAGCCAATCAATGTTATGCTCTCACATCAGTGTTTCTCTCTCCCCCCTCCCTCTATCTCTAAAAATCAATAAAAGTATTTTTATTTCAGCTCTCATACTTCAAAACCCTATACCCTTCCCCTACTTTATTTTTTTCCTTAGCAACTATGACTAACATCATATATACTTAATATTTGTTTATTGTTTCTCTCCAGTCTGTGACAACTAAGATTTTTGCTCTTTGTTCATTATTGTACCCCAGGTATCTAGAACACTACTTTTTAAAAATATTGTTAAATGAGTAGAAGCAATAGGCTGAACTATATTTTGAAAAATAATTGAAGGAAGCTAAGAAGTAATAATGTTGATATTTAAGTTCATTTGAAAGAACGTATTCAAACATTTAGCTCAAACCACTTGCTCAGTGTCTAATGTGTCTGTAACTCATCTATTTATCTTCTATCATAACCCTAAATTATAATGGCTAAAGGTGGTATTTTAGAGTACTGTATCCGTAGATCCTGTGTACATACTCAATAAGAAAATAGAGCCTTGACTGGTGTGGCTCAGTGATAGAGTGTGGCCTGCACACCAAAGGGTCATGGGTTCAATTCCTGGCCAAGAGCACGTACTTGGGTTGCAAGTTTGTTCCCCGGCCCGGTCTGGCGTGTGCAGGAGGCAACCAATCAATATGTGTGTGTGTCTCTGTCTCTCTCTTCTCCTCCCTCCCTTCCACTCTCTTTAAAAGTCAGTGGGAAAAAATAACCTCAGGTAAAGATTAACAAAAAAGGAAAATAGAAATTTTCCTATTTGGAGTGATTCACTGATGGACTAGAACAAATGAAATAGAAAGTTTCCTATCTGGAATGATTCACTGATGGCCTAGAACCCTGGTTGGCAAACTGTGGCTCGCGATGCACAGTTTGCTGACCACTGACCTAGAACACATGATATAGCCAGGTTGCTCTGAGGAATCCATGGTAAGTCTGGCCTTTTTTTTTTTTTTTTTTGTAGTAAAATACATATAAAATTGACCATGTTAATCATTTTTTTAAATATATTTTATTGCTTTTTTACAGAGAGGAAGGGAGAGGAATAGAGAGTTAGAAACATCGATGAGAGAGAAGCATCGATCAGCTGCCTCCCGCACACCCTCTACTGGGGATGTGCCTGCAACCAAGGTACATGCCCTTGACCGGAATCGAACCTGGGACCCTTCAGTCCCCAGGCCGACGCTCTATCCAGTGAGCCAAACCGGCTAGGGCTGTTAATCATTTTTAAATATGCAGTTGTGAAGCAGATCCCCAGAACTTTTTCATGTTGCAAATCTGAAACTAAACCAATTAATAACTTTCTTTCCCCTCTCCCTACTCCCAGGTAACCACGATTCTTCTTTCTGTTTCTATGAATTGACTTTAGATACCTCAGATAAGTAGAATCATAGTGTCTTCCTATGACTGGCTTATTCACTTAGCATAATGTCAAAAAGTCCATCCACATTGTAGCATATACTACCAGATTTCCTTTCTCTTTATGGCTGAATACTATTCCACTCTATGCCTCTATGTACAGGTATTTTATGTATTCATTAATCGATTGACATTTGGGTTGGTTCTACTTCTTGGCTATTGTGAATAAGTACTGCTGTGACATGGCTGTACAAATATGAGTCTAGCTATTTTTAACTTAAAATACTTTATACTTTAATTTTTAATTTATAATGTCTTTAAGTTCTGTGTCAAATGCTCTACCTCTATCGGAAAAGAAGTCATTTCATGAATAATTATATAATCTGAACCTGTGTGTCTCAATACAGTTTTAGTTCCTAATGCTATACATATTTCAGAAGTTTGTATAGTAGTTTTAATTAAAAGGAAAATAATGAAATAGATCATAAACTATTAAAAGCCTAATATGTAAACATTTAGCTCAAAAACAGAAGTAAAATCATCTTTGCCACTTTCCACATTCTTAACATAATTGTCACCACAAATACATCTTTTTCAGGCATACCTCCAAACAACCACTGACCACAGTCCTGCTGATTGTGTTAATCATAAGTCTTACTCTAGTATTAAACAAAAGTTACCTACAAAACTGATTAATCAAAACACAAAGAGTCGTGTTCCAAATGTTATATGAACATAATGTGTCTGAAGAGCCAATTTAACGATTCCTTTTGGTTGACTTCTTCTTGTGCACCTCTTTATGCTTCTTTTTTTTCCTCTTACCACCTTCTTTGAATCCTGCTGAGAAAACAGAGGGATCCTTGTTGCTGGTGACCCACGGTATACGTTGCTCATTTCCCACACAAGTGTATTGAGGCACATGTTTGGAGCTGTAGGACTTTGGTGAATAATTGTCAAGTGACTGTCTTCTCCACCTGTGCTCTGCAAAGCCCTCTTCATCTGCCACATCGTTTATAATGAGGAAGGACTCTACCTCGCCATCTTCCCCTTCTCTTTCCTCATCATTCTCAATAATTATGCTTGTATTGGTCTTTCTGCCGTTAACAGTTTTATATGAAGTAAAAGATGTGTAGTTGTCCATCCCACTGTCATCAAATGCCAGGGAAGAGAAAAAATTAAGGTCTTCATGGCCCAGTGAATCATATGGTGTATATCTTGTGTCATATTCATAAAATCTCTCAAAAACTGGATATTCACAGGAGGTAGAGAAAAAGGATCTTGCGCCTCTGTTTCTACTTCTATAGGAACTTCTTGGACTATTTAAAAGGTCCTCAAGTGAGTCTTCAAAGAAAAGACATAAAAATGAGTCCCTTTCACCAAAAATTTCTGTAAAGACATCATCTGGCTTAGGGGATGTGAAGCCATATTCAAAAGAATCATCAATATTACTTCCCCCCTCACCATTTAATCCTTCTTTGCCGTATTTATCATAAATGTCCCGTTTTTCATCATTTGATAATACCTCATACGCTTCAGCTACTTCTTTGAATTTTCTCTCCGCTTCTTCTTTATTTTCTAGATTTTTATCAGGGTGCCATTTAAGTGCCACTTTATGATAAGCCTTTTTAATGTCCGCACATGAAGCATATCTCTGCACTCCTAGAACTTCATAGTAATCTACCATGTTTTAACAAATCGTTGGAAGGGGGTGCCCTGGGTAGTAAGAACCGTGGTTTCCTCTCCGTCCCGGCTCTGTTGGTGGTGGTGGTAGAGTGACTGCAAATAGGCACATTTTTACATTGAAGACAATGTTGCTGTGGGCCACTGCTAGGAGACGATAGGGTGCTGATTGTGTGGCAAGCAGAGTTACCAGCTTATGTCAGAGAGGGCTGCATTATGGTGTCATTCGGGGGTTGGGGTAGGACTTGACCTTCTCAATGGAGCTAGTCCAGAGTCATATCAGACCGTCCTGAGCCTCTGGATGATTTCTCCTATATTTCTCTGGAAGCCTCAAACAATACCTCATAAATCAGTGGGACCTGTTGTTACTGGCCACAGCATGCCACTTGCATAATGTGACCTCTAGGTTTATAAGTCTTAATAACTTACTTCCCAGTGCTTGCATGTTTTGGTTTGGAAAAATGAAGAAGTCTAAAAAACATGTAGTTAAAGATTTTGAAAACTGTGTGTTTATGTATTCAATACATATTATTGAATGCCTATTTTGTGCAAGGCTCAGTTTTAGCCACTGGTAATAACAGTATTGAATTAAAAAATGCCAGTTTTCATGGTGTTTACATTATCATAGAGTACTACGAATAAATGGGAGATAATGTGATACGTGCTTTTAAAAAAAAAAAAGCCTGATGACAGAAAGCTACCTTCGATTGGTTTTAGAAGCCTCTGAAGAGATGACATTAGAGCTGTGTGATCCAGTATAGTAGCTACTAGCCATGTGGGTGGACATGTTGGTTTTTTTCACTTTTGACCCATTATAAATAAAGCTAGCATTCATTTCTAGTGAGAAGCCAGTTTGGGGGTGGTGGGGAGGTGGTAATGCGTCGGATTTACATTTTTAATGGATCAGTGTCTGCTATGTGGAGAATCTGTTGTATGTGGGAAAGTTAGGATTAGAAAATCCAGGTAGCCGAAACTGGTTTGGCTCAGTGGATAGAGCGTCAGCCTGCGGACTGAAAGGTCCCAGGTTCGATTCCAGTCAAGGGCATGTACCTGGGTTGCGGGCACATCCCCAGTAGGAGATGTGCAGGAGGCGGCTGATCGATGTTTCTCTCTCATCGTTGTTTCTAACTCTCTATCTCTCTCCCTTCCTCTCTGTAAAAAATCAATAAAATTTATTTAAAAACAAAAAGAAAAGAAAATCCAAGTAGACACTCTCACTCTCTCCCTCTCCCTCCCTCCACCCCACCCTTTCATTCTCTCTAAAAATCCATTTTAAAAAATCCAGTTAGAAGAAAACTCGACCAAAGTTGGTTTTCTTTGGGGACAATTTAAATTATCAATAGGCTAGGCCTGAATTAAAAAGATGTATTCCTGGCTCATTTTATTGTCTTAGGAAATTCCCTAAGATGATCTGTCTCTGTTTCTCTTCCTCTATATGTTGTTTTCTTTTTCATGACATTTATAAACAACTTGTTTAAATGATATTCTAGTGACATGGAAAATAATAGTGTAAATTTCTAGCCAGTCTTTCAAGAGCATTTGTCAGCTTTGAATATTTTTTACTTTTTGTTTGTATACCAGTTGACTAGAAGTATTGCAGAACTCTTAAACTCAAATTCAATTCTCTCCAGGATCTGTACTTACATGTATGTATGGTATACATGTGATTATATTTGCCTGCCATTGAAAATAAGTAGCAGTAATAACAATATTGAACATTATTTGAGTACCATCTTTGGGTCAGATGCTGTAGCAAGTGTCTTACATGCAGTTTCTCATTGAACTGTCACAGCATTCCAGCAAAATAAATATTTTGTGTCCATATGAAACCTGAGCCTCTGAAAAATAGTAATTTGCCTAAGGAAACCTAGCTCATTAGTGAAAAATCTGATATTTAAACTTGGATCTATCTGATTCCAAATTCTGCTCTTTCCAACTCTATCTCATTTCTTAGACCAGGATTTAAGAGTTTAGGTTCTAGACATTGCACATCATGAGCCCCCTATGGGGGATTGAACCTGCAACCTAGGTATGTGCCCCGACTCAGAATCGAACCCTCAACTCTTTGGTGTATGGGATAAAGCTACAACCAACTGAGCCACCTGGCCAGAGCTCTTATAAGAACTTTTACTCTTTTAGCAACTTTCAAATATACAATACATAATTGTTAACTATAGTTACCATACTATACATTACATCCCCAGAACTTTTTTTTTTAATATATTTTTGGCCGAAACCGGTTTGGCTCAGTGGATAGAGCGTCGGCCTGTGGACTGAAAGGTCCCAGGTTCGATTCCGGTCAAGGGCATGTACCTGGGTTGCGGGCACATTTCCAGTGGGAGATGTGCAGGAAGCAGCTGGTCGATGTTTCTCTCTCATCGATGTTTCTGACTCTCTATCTCTCTCCCTTCCTCTCTGTAAAAAATCAATAAAATATATATAAAAAAAAAGATATTAATATGTGGCCCCAGAACTTACTGATCTTGTAAATACACCCATTTTGGTTTCTATCTTCTATACTCCACTAAAACTGTTCTTGTCAGGGTCTCCAGTGACTTCCATGTTGCCAAATCCAGTAGTTGTCTTTTTGGTCTCATATTTAGCAGCACATGGCACAGTTAAGTATTTCCCCTTTCATAAAACACTTGTTTCTTTAACTTCCTAAATATCACATTCTTACAGTTTTCTTCCTTTCTCCTGTGCTTTTTCTTCTCACACCAAAATAATATAGTACCTGGACTTTCTCTGTACCATCTTCATAGGTAATATTCAGTCCCAGGACTTTTGATCCCCCAAACTTAAGACTGTTTGACCTCTCCATTGGAATAGCCAATAATTATCTCAATCTTTTCCATTTCATTTAATGGCATAACCTTCCACCCACTTGCAAAAACCTGGGAATCATCCTTAATATGCTTTTTTTTTTTTACTCCCTGCATTTAACCAAAACCAGATTTGTTGGCTTTTTAACCTTCAAAAATATATCCCAAATCTCATCACTGGGAAAATAAAGTAAAATAACAAATAATCTCTATCTTCCCAAAGTTCATAGCAAACTAATTTAGCAATTATGTGCAGTGTAGTAGGTCTTAAAATAGAATTAAGCCTGGTTGATGTGGCTCAGTAGATAGAGTGTTGGCCTGCGCACAAGGGTTGCAGGTTCGATTCCCAGTCAGGGGCATGTACCTGGGTTGCAGATTCTATTTCCACCTGGGTCGGGCACATACGGGAAGCAACCAGTCGATGTGTCTCTCACATCGATGTTTCTCTCTTTGTCTTCCTTCCACTCTTTCTAAAAATCAGTGGAAAACATATCCTCGGGTTAGGATTCGCAACAATAGCAAAATAGAATTAAGTGCAGTAGCATTGAGGAGGCGCCTTTGTATCAGAAGCAATAGGGATGGGGAATTAAAAATCAGGCTTCCGCCAAAACCGGTTTGGCTCAGTGGATAGAGCGTTGGCCTGGGGACTGAAGGGTCCCAGGTTCGATTCCGGTCAAGGGCATGTACCTGGGTTGCGGGCACATCCCCAGTAGGAGATGTGCAGGAGGCAGCTGATTGATGTTTCTCTCTCATCGATGTTTCTAACTCTCTATCTCTCTCCCTTCCTCTCTGTAAAAAATCAATAAAATATATTTTAAAAAAAAAATCAGGCTTCCTAGATGTTGGAACTGATTTTTGAGAAGTTGAGTAATCAGAAACAAGCAAAGGCCATTTTAGACTAAGATAACTGCATACTTAAAGCCAAATGCTGTTATAATACAGACTAATTAGCTGGCTCTTTGCGTAATTTAGTGTGGCTGCAGTAATGTTTTTTGAGGATTAGGCCAGCCATTAGAGGAGTGAGCAGGGGCCAGATTAAGAAGGGTGCTAAGCCCTGACCGGTTTGGCTCAGTGGATAGAGCGTCGGCCTGCGGACTGAAGGGTCCCAGGTTCGATTCCGGTCAAGGGCATATACCTCGGTTGTGGGCACATCCCCAGGAGAGGGTGTGCAGGAGGCAGCTGATAGAGGTTTCTGACTCTCTCTCTCTCCCTTCCTCTCTGAAATCAATAAAGATTTATTAAAAATAAAAAAAAAAAGAAGGGTGCTAAGCTAGAGTCAAACGTATTTTGAAAGATAGAAAAATCTAAGCATACATAGTAGACTAAAGTCACTAAGGGTTAAAATTAGATCATGTCTATGTTACCAGGGCTCCACACTGGCTCTGACTGGCACAGAGGAAGGCCCATATATATATATTGAAGGTGAAATTAATTTGCATTTTTCTAAAACACCCAAATGCTGGAGATAGATAAATGTACATATACATATTCTGTGAGGACCTTCTAGATTCCTTCTTCCATTTCCTCCTCTTTCTTTCTCCTTAGGATGCATATCCTGTTCTCAGAGAAGGTACTCCCTCCAGCCCATCCCAGACAGGAGGGTTCCAAATCGATACTTGGGCCAGCCCAGCCCCTTCACACACCCACACCTCCTCAGACCAGGTAAGGATTTTAACCAGAATAACTGTCTCTTCAGGTGCTTTATCTAGAGCTAGAGCCGGGCTGTTCAATACAGGAGCCACCAGCCACTAGTGGCTATTGTATACTTATTATGTTGCTAGTGCAACTAAGAAACTAAATTTTTAAATTTTATTTTAAATTATTTATTTATTTATTTATTTATTTATTTTTAAATATATTTTATTGATTTTTTACAGAGAGGAAGGGAGAGGGATAGAGAGTTAGAAACATCGATGAGAGAGAAACATCGATCAGCTGCCTCCTGCACACGCCCCACTGGGGATGTGGCCGCAATCAAGGTACATGCCCCTGATCAGAATCGAACCTGGGACCCTTGAGTCCACAGGCCAATGCTCTATCCACTGAGCCAAACCGGTTAGGGCTATTTTAAATAATTTAGATTTAAACTTAAATAGCTACATGTGGCTACTGGTACTCTGCCGACAGCACTATCTAGAGCCATAAACACTTTATTAAGCCTTACCATTCAGAATTATCAGTGAAATATGTACTTAGGATTTTCTTAAAGAAAAGTTCTATTGCTTTCAAAGACTTAGTTTCTACAGTTGTGTTCTAACTATTGATTCCTAGTGAACTACTATGTTAAAGATACTTTAGAAAACATGTTTTTTTTAAAAAAAATATGGACTACGTCATGAATTTGTGTGTTATCCTCAAAAATGTGTTTTTCTTAAAAGTGTTAAATACTCATTTCAAAAGTTTAACAACAATATTCCTGTATAGATTATGCAAGATTTCCAGATCTGACTGTCACAGCTTTGAGAGGTGACAGCACTGGTAAAGATGATGCAAAAATTGGTGTTTATTTACTTCACTGGTTTTTATACTTGATAAAAGTTGACCTCCCCGATATTTTTTCCTGCTGTAAGACTCCAGTGTTGCTGCTAGGTGTGTCCTCACTATCGCTCAAATTCATGCCTAAACGTTTTTATTTTGTTTTATCAAAAAGGCATGAGGGATGAACTGTGGTGAATGAATATCATCCCAAAGAGGTAGGTAGAGTAAAACCACATGCTGTGTAAAAAAGCAGCGAGGCTTTCAAGGGAAATTGTTGCTTCTGCCATGAGAAGTTAAATCTGTATTTCCTGTGTAAGCATAGATATTAATAATCTAAACTGCCTTTAGAAATATGTTACTCTTTCACTGTCTCCACTCAGTGAACGATACCAGTGTGTCTCTCAGTGAGGGCTTCTTTTGCTGATTCTTCATGAGACTGGAATTCCTGCTGGAAAGTCGGCTGAGACTCAGGAAATGCAGCTCACCACTGAAACACACAAGAAATCAGAGTTTTTCAAAGCTGTAAGGTAAGCTGAAAGCAATCCAGTTGATGTAAATTTAAGTATTTCTCTACCCTATCAACCTACTTTTAGCGTCAATCTTTTTTAAAATGTAGAATTGATATTAAGCTTTACCAGCTTTGAAAATTATTGATTTCTTGTGGTGAGATACTTTTATGTGGTGAGCTGCATTTTCCAGGCCTTAAAACTAGTAATCATATTGTCAAAATGATGGTCTCTGTATCTAGAATGTTTGCTATGTATGTTATGTACATGTTAACAAAATAAAAAATGAATATAGCCTTGGCCAGTGTTCTCAGTGGTTAGAGCGTCGGCCCACACACCAATTGCTGGTCAAAGGTTTCGAGTTCGTCCCTGGCCCAGTCGGGGCACATGCTGGAGGCAACCAATCAATGTGTCTCTTTCACATTGATCTTTCTCTCTATCTCTGTCTCTCTCTCTCTCTCCCCCCGCTTCCTCCCTCCCTTCCACTCTCTAGAAAACAATGGAAAAAATATCCTCAGGTGAAGATTAACAACAAAAAATGAATGCGAATAAACATACACACATACATGTTCATACACATTCACATGTTCATCTCAGCTGTGGGGGGAAGGGATGCCTGTCCTAATCTTTATTCTCCTAGACGTAGGCTTTGGACACTGGGGTAAGTGAGAAGGGAGAGAAGAAGATAAAATTTTAAAGCAGAATTATCAGTTATACAGTTTTTAGAGGCAAGAACTATGTAAGTATTCAAAGTATTAATCATTTGTCTTTCTCCATGTAGAGATGCAAAACATATATAAGTGTTAAAATGTTTGTGGGGTGAAGAAAGAGTAAATTAAGAAAAATTATAAGACGTGTAATACTTAAAAAAAATTTTTTTTCTTTTACATAGCCAGCTTGTTAGTTCAGGGTATAAAATTGTGTTGTCTATACTTAGTTTGCTCCAAAAGGTTTCATGTTTGGCTTAGTTATTTTCTCAATACTTGCCAGTACTTAAAACTTTTTGAAACTATCTCAGTTCCTTTCCTAATTATTATACAAGTTTTATATGTATTATAGAAAAATTAGAGAATACAGCTAAGCATACATTTTTAAAAAATTATTCATAATCTGCCCTGGTCAGGTAGTTCAATTGGTTGGAGCATTGTCCCATACACCAGAAGGTTGTGGGTTCAATTCCCAGTAGGGACGAGTATGGGAGGCAACCAATCAATGTCTCTCTCTTCTCAAATCAATAAACATATACTTAGGTGAGGATAAAAAAAATTAATCATAATCCCACCACTCCCAAGAAATCCCACCACTGTTGAGATTTTTGTATATGTATATTTCTAGACTTATTTCTTATATAAAAATTGTGTGTGTGTGTGTGTGTGTGTGTGTACATTCTGTATACTGATCAATTATTTTCTTAAATTCTTAAAAGTGAAATTACTGTGTCAGTTCCTTCTGAATTTTTGGAAGCTGATTTCTCTTGGCCATATCTACTCAAGTTTCCTAAAGCAACTGTAACTTGGAAAATATTCAGTAGAATAACATGGTAGATAAAGGGATTCTGTTCTGGCTTTACTACTACTATTTTAGATGGAAATAAAGAATCAGGTTGACTCACCCAGGTCCTCCTCGTGATGTTTAAAATTTATCATTTTCTTAAAGAAATCTGGGCATTATAGACCATTTCTTCTTTTTCATGATATTGCCATCCCTGTGTCTGTAGAGACAGAAAATGTCAGTTCATCCTTTTCAATCACTAGTATTCCCTCCACTTATCACCTGAGGGGAAATAAAAATGATTCCATGTAGGAAGGCAAGTGGCATTCTGAGCTATATACTATCATGAGCTGTGAATCTACTTTTTATATCTGTACAAGAGAGACACTTATAGAGTTCCCGGACATTGCCACAGGAGTATTGCTGTCACCAGCAGAACAGCAAGGTGTTTAGTTCACACAAACACTGAAACTTATCAGGGAATAGGAAGCATTAGTGCCTAATGAAGCATTTGTTCCAAAAACCTGTATTTCTAACATTTCTACACTTCTAAGCAAAATAAATTTTAGAATGTGAAGTACAGTTTGGAGTGCTTTACAACAGGACTATTCAGAAGCTGAGCTGTCAGAATGACTTGTCAGACATATCCAGAACCACTTTTTTGTTTTCCTATCAAGTGTAATATTTAAAATGATAAAAAGGTTGGTTCTCGCCTGGCCGGTGTGGCTAAGTGGTTGAGCGTCAACCTACGAACCAGGAGGTCTCGGTTCGATTCCCTGTCAGGGCACATGCCCAGTTGCAGGCTTGATCCCCATTTAGAGGTAGCCTTCGTCCTTCCTCTCTCTGAAATTAATAAAAATATATACTAGATTGGTTCTAGAATGGGTTTACTATATTGGTTCTAGAATGGGTTAAAAATAATAATCCCCAAATCTCCCCTTAAAAGTTTCATAATCAGTTGTAGTTTTTTTTTTGTAATTTTTATTTATTGATTTGAGAGAGAGAGAAACATTGGTTTTTGTTGTTCCACTCATTTATGAACTCACTGGTTGACCTTTGTATGTGCCCCAACCAGGGATTGAACCCAGAACCTAGGTATGTGTCCTGACAGAATCGAACACGCAACCTTTTGGTGTACAGGACAATGCTCCAGCCAACCGAGCCACCTGGCCAGGGCTTATTATGTCCATTTTAAAGATGAGGAAACTGAGGCACAGAGCAGATTGGTAGCTCAGGATTTCATTTCACAACAGTCTGACAGAGTCCACACTTAACCACAAAACAGTACAGCCCCGCCGCTGTGGCTCAGTGGTTGAGCGTTGACCTATGAACCAGGAGGTTTGATTCAATTCCCAGTCAGGGCACATGCCTGGCTTGCCGGCTCGATCCCCAGTTGGGGGCGTGCAGGAGCAGCTGATCAATTTCTAACTATCTTTTTTTTTTGTTTTTTTTCCTTCAAATTTTTACAATAGAATAGAAAATTTAAACCTGGGTTATCCCATAATTCTCGATATGCTATGAAGAGATTTGGCCTAAATTGAAGAAATGAACTTGGGTATCTTTATCTAATATTAAACGACCTTGCGTACTTTGGCACTGCAGAAATGCAAAGCATCACTGTTGTTTGTCATTTCTAGGGGAGGTGACTCCAGGACTATCCCAGGTGGAATATGCGCTTCGCAGACACAAATTAATGTCTCTGATCCACAAGGAAGCACAAGGGCAGAGTGGGACAGACCAGACAGTGGTTCTGCTGTCCAACCCTACATACTATATGAGCAATGATATCCCCTATACTTTCCACCAAGACAACAATTTCCTGTACCTGTGTGGATTCCAAGAGCCCGATAGCATTCTGGTCCTTCAAAGCCTCCCTGGCAAGCAGTTACCAGCACACAAGGCCATGCTTTTTGTGCCTCGGAGAGACCCCAGTCGAGAACTTTGGGATGGCCCTCGATCGGGCACTGATGGAGCAATAGCTCTAACTGGTGTGGATGAAGCCTATACGCTGGAAGAATTTCAACATCTCGTTTCGAAACTGAAAGGTAACCAATGGGAGGAGAAGTCCAATGATAGGCCAGATTGGGATTAAGACCTTCCTTACCCATTTAGACAAAGTTCTTAATGTCCTAGAATGATTATCCATAGCAGTGGTTTCTCTTAAGCACCAAGAAAGGAACATAAATTTTTACCACAAGACTGGTCTACTTTAAAGACTTCATTTATTCATTTGCTAAATCTTTCTAGAGAATTCATTCTCATAGACTGTTAACTGTCCTAGTGTGAAATCCCAAAGAGTGAATTTCCTTCTAAAGTGGAGGATGGGTGTGGGCCACTCTTTAAGACTACTGACCAGTCTATTGACCTTTGATCCCTGCTTTTTACTGCTTTTGCCAATTCTTCAAAATGAGGTAGTATTCTCAAAAAAATTATCTAAGCACCACCAGCATCAGAATCACCTGGTGATGCATATTAGAATTACAAATGAAAAAAAAGAAGAAGAAGAATTACAAATGCATAGTAGATATTGGAAAATGTAAAATCGTAGGCCCCCATTCCATACTGACTAAATCAGAATCTATATTTTAACAAGATTCTTAGGTGATTTATATACACAGTTCATACTTCTCAAAATAGTCCCTTTCTCTACATTAATTCTGGTGAAATTATGATCACTCAGAATATTTTGGGATTCCTTTTCTGGAACTTTGCAGAACCTACACTACAATATAAACTATCCTTAGAGATTCTTGTAAATCTATAGTTCTGGAAGCATTTTTAAAGTATCCAAAGTCACTTAGAGCCAAATGTGTTAAATAAGATAGATGATCAGGTTGGAAAATACTGATATTAGACAAAATAATGCAGGGACAGCCCTAAACTATCTAGGTAGTTCCAAAACTTTGTACGGGGGCAGAAAATCTGTCAGTTCAGTCTCAGAATATCTTGCCATTTTCAAGGAATGGCCTTTCCAATGATTTATGATCAAACCCTTCAATTACTTCAGTCCTGAGAGAGTCTGTGCTCAACCCTTTATTCAAACAAGCCGCGAGTTTGACATGCTTGCGTTAGAGTTTCACACTACACGTTTTACAATTTTGCCTCTTGTTTAAGTCATCATGACAGTTGGTATTTATTGTTGTTGCTGTTAGTTTTATTTTAAATTGATTTTTTTGGCATCTTATTTTAAGCCGAGACAAATACACTTTGGTATGACTGGATGAGGCCTGCTCACGCACAGCTTCACTCGGACTATATGCAGCATGTGACTGAGGTCAAAACCAAGAGCAAGAACAAGGTTCGGGCTGTCCATCAGCTGGTACAGCGCCTACGGCTGATCAAATCTCCTGCTGAAATTGAACGAATGCAGATTGCTGGAAAGCTAACGTCACAGGTGTGATTCCTCCTGCAAAAGCTGTTTTCAAATGAAAAAAATCTAAGCTCTTAGGGTTCCATGGGCATTTTGAGGTTGTGTACTTAATGCAGTAATTTCTTGGCAGGTGAACATCCAGCTTCAACCTTGACATTAGTGAACACATCTAGAGACTTGCTCAGTACCTTGCAAGGCAAAGTGAATCTGCCTTCTTGTATTTTTTACCCATGATCTCAGTTGTTTCTCCTTGGAGCAACGTAAATTAATTTTATTTCCTTTCCTGACAATAACTGCAATAATAGTAGCAGTTTGATGGTTAAAAAAGAATCATAGGACCCAAAATGACAATGCTTACAAGTCTACAATTAACAGGAAAAGGGTACAGTACAGCTCAGTGATGGCGAACCTTTTGAGCTCAGCGTGTCAGCATTTTGAAAAACCCTAACTTAACTCTGGTGCCATGTCACATATAGAAATTTTTTGATATTTGCAACCATAGTAAAACAAAGACTTATATTTTTGATATTTATTTTATATATTTAAATGCCATTTAACAAAGAAAAATCAACCAAAAAAATGAGTTCGCGTGTCACCTCTGACACGCGTGTCATAGGTTCGCCATCACTGGTAGCAACAGCATTAACATAAGAATACCTGTCACAGCCAATGGCTGTCTCACAGCCAGGGACCAAAGAAGCCAAGTTCAGGCTCCTGTTGTCCTGTCCGCTCTCAGTAAGAGCTGGACAGGATGCATTTTCTCTCCTGGATCAGGAACCACAGATGCCTGCATGGAACACCTGGAAACCAGGGAGCCCAGAATGGAATCGCAGCTAGAGATTTTTCTGGTTTGGATCATATTGGCAGATTCCTGCTATGTAACAACAAAGCCTTTTGGAGTTCTCGTGGAAACCAAGTACAAACCATTAATCTCACTTGTCACAATACTGACAAACTGCTCTGAAACTCCTCTCAACACTATTAGTATGTTTCAGGCCTTAACCAAGATCCATTACATACAGGACCTTGAACAAAACAGCTCAAGTTAATTCCGGCCTACTGGAATTAACTTCATAGCATAATAGCACACAAACATTTAAAGGCTATTTTTCTGAGCTCTACCTATAGTCTTCCCAAAGTTAAACATTATTTTCCTGAACTATTCCCTCATCTGTTTCATTTTACCTCATTTGGTGATCTTCCTCAGTAAGTGCTCTAGTTTGTCTAGTGCACTGTCCAGTGTTGTAGCTATGGCTAGACCAACTAATTACAAATGTGAAAAGTATATGTCTTTGTTTTCCTTCAAATCATTGATTTTTTTAAATAAGGACGAGAAGTAGCTAAGAATAGATTGGGATAATGTTTAGGGCTCCAAAGAATTGGTATCAGTCCAGTGATCAGATGTCTTTGCATAAGGTGTAAAGTCAATTACAAATTTACCTGGGAGTATTCTGATCTGCACTTCTGTCACTTGTCCACGCTGTTAGTGAGAGACTATTGTAAGTGTGCCAAAATTTAGAAGTATTAAATCTGACGTATTGTCTTTATCTACCGACCCAGTAAAGATATCAGACGGGGGAAATGGAGTTTGGCTTAATTTTTATTAATGAACAACTTCTACCAGCAATCTTATTCTTTAAGTATTCCCAATTCTGGTGTAGAATTATTCTGTAAGATTTTTTAATATTTGGGCAAAATAGTTTGGGGTTTTTTTAAATATTTTTTTTAATTGATTTCAGAGAGGCAGGGAGAGGGAGAGAGAGATAGAAACATCAATGATGAGAGATAATCATTGATTGGCTGCCTCCTGCACACCCCCAGCTGGGGATCAAGCCCACAACCCAGGCATGTGACCTTGACTGGAATTGAACCTGGGACCCTTCGGTCTGCAGTCTGATGCTCTATGCACTGAGCCAAACCAGCTAGGGCCAAAATAGTTTTCTTAAGAATAATGATGCTATATTTGTGTTTTTCAGCCCAAATGAAGGTTTCCTATCTTTTGGGGAATAAGCCAAATATAATTTGTGTCTCTGTGCTACAGATCAATTGGATTTTCTTGCAATCTGATTTGGTTTACAATAAGTAAAGGGCCTTGTCATTAGAGTTAAGTAACCTTTCTAGAGGAGAATTGGTAGAATATATGGGCAGAAGTAAAAGCAGGGTGAGTCAGACCTATCCAGGCCAGATCTCTCCTATGACTGAACGTATATCCTGCCTCCTGGACTTTTCTACCTGAATTTCCTGTAATTGTCTAAACTTGTGCTCTTCCAGCTCTATCAGACCTGCCTCTTCTCGTATTCTATTTCATGGCTAATAATAACAACATTGACCCAGCTACCTTAGATAGAAATATGGAAGTTATCTAGATAATTGTTCTCCCCAATCCTTGTATCTAATTAACTGGTCCCCAAGTTATCTTCTCGGGAGGCAGAATAGTGGAGTGGAAGACAGACCTGGGTTTAAATACCAAGCTGTGTTATTTTGGCCTGTGCCTAGCACAGTAGGACACCTAATATCCCTTTGCTGTCTCTTTGCTTCTGCTATTGCCTGCGTCTAACTCTACCCCGGCCACGATAATCTCTTCAAATCTGACTGCCCTTCTCCTAAAGTTCTTTGGTGGCTCCTTGTTGTTTTTAGGATTAAATTTCAACATGCTCACGCAGGGCCTTTCATGACCTGGCCTCTTCTGCCTTTCCCTTCCAGCTTTATATCTCATTCTTCCACAGGTGCTTACATACTGAACACTCTCAAATGTCACAGGCTCCCTACTGTCACATCACCTGCATGTGGACAAGGCCCTCATGAAATCATTCCTGCTTTTTCTCTCCACTGTCCCTTCCCCATAAGCTGTACAGTGTCTACTCATGATGTGTCCTGGTTATAAGATGCACAGAATGAAATGCAAAGAAACCCCATTTTACATCTTTAAAGATACAAACATTTAAATAGCACCTGGTGAAGTAAGAAGGTCAAGTGTTAATTGAGATTATGGGCTACATTGTGATAAGACAACCCTCATAAGAAGTGGCCGTCATAACGTCTGCCCCTTGATCTTTATAGTAAAGACAGTATTTTGAACATTTGAGTAAGCAGAATAGTTAACATTAGACTTCTTTTCATGCTCCATTCTATTTGCAGGCTTTCATAGAGACCATGTTTGCCAGCAAAGCGCCTGTGGATGAGAGCTTTCTTTATGCTAAGGTGAGCTTTCAATGATGGGAAGGCACACATAAAGTAATTCCATTGATCTGCAGGTGGCATCTGGTTGGCTTTTATGGAAGTGACCAGGAGATCAGTGGAGAGGATTTGGTTCTTAAATATCACTAGTAATTTATTAGATGAGTCTAAAATATGTGGAGTAACAGTTAAATGAAGAAAATCCGCAGAGTAGAGCTATTGAAGAAGAAAAGGTTTACATAAATGTGAGATGACAAGACTAGTACTGTTTAAGTAAATGTAAAGGAAGAGACTCTGAGGTTGAGCTGTAGATAGTAGCACATGGTTGCCAGTCTCGAGCTCCATCCCAGGACATAATGAAATTCGTAGAGTTTACCATTTGCCTAGCATATTTTTATTTTTATTTTCCAGAGCTTGTAGGTCAGTAGCTATTTGAAAGGTTGACATTAGTCATTTAGAGTTGTTGTTAAAAATGCAAGCCGTATTCCAGTGTTTATCTAAATAAGAATAAACAAACAGTAACTTGACATGACTTATCTTTTTGCTCACCCTTGATCATAGGTTTTCTGTGTCCTCTTCTGGACTTAATTTGAAAATCAGAAATTTAGAGTACTCACAAGAAAAGAACAGATTTAGTAATAGGATGGAATAACAGGCTTGGGGTGAGACTAAAAGAAGCGGCCTGAAATTATGGCATTACAAGTTTTGTTGGGTATGATGAATAGTTTTCCAGTAGTAACTTAAATGGAGGTGTGTGCTGTTGAGGAGAGCCTGGGCAGGGACAGCCCTAAAGAAATCCTTTCTTCAGTCATACTCATAGTTACACTTTGCTGCTTTTTTCAGTTTGAATTTGAATGCCGAGCCCGGGGAGCAGACATCTTAGCCTACCCACCTGTGGTTGCTGGAGGTAATCGGTCAAACACTTTGCACTATGTGAAGAATAACCAGCTCATCAAGGTACAGTACGACCCATCAGCACTGCTTCCTCGGGGTCCAGGTGCCCTAGTAGAAAACTCACTAACTTCGGGGTCCCCTAATTTCCAGCTTTGACAAAATGCTTTTACAGACAATATCTCATTTGATCCTCACGTTAGCGCTATGAGATAGGAGCAGTTATTAACATGCCTGTTTAATAGGTGAGGAAAATAAACTTTTAAACATTAGGCAGTTAGTAGTGCAGAGGCAAATATTCTACCCTAAAGCCTCTGCTCTTTTTCTTTTATAACACTCCTCCTCCAAGGACTGGTAGCTAGCTGCAGTGGGATAAGCATATGGGAGCAGACAGTCTTTTTTTTTTTTTTTTTAATGTTTTTATTGACTAGAGAGAGGAGGGGAGAGGGCGAGAGATACAGAAACATCGATGAGAGAGAAATATCAACATCGATTGGCTGCCCTCGCTGGGGATTGAGCCCACAACCTGCACATGTGCCCTGACCCGGAATGGAACCTAGTGTATGGATCGACGCTCAACCACTGAGCCACACTGGCCAGGCAGATTGTAAGAATGAATACCTTATTAGCTGTCAGAGAATTTCTCTTTTATGGTTTTCTCCCCAAGTGACTATACAAGTAAAGAATTGTGTACTCCTTTGTTAAGTCCACTTTTAATTATCTATTTTAATATTTGGTAAATTCAAAAGACTAAATATAGCAAACGTAAATTATACAGCATATATTTAAAGTGAATACCCATGACTTACTGGACTCAAAAGTTAGATTACCACCCTGGCCGGTGTGGCTCAGTTGGTTGGGCGTTGTCCCATACACCAAAATGTTGCCAGTTCCATTCTGGTCAGGGCACATGCCCGGTTCAATCCCTGGTAGGGGGCGTTCAGGAGGCAGCTGATTGATGTTTCGTTCTCACATCGATGTTTCTCTCCCTCTCCTTTTCCTTCTCCCTAAAAATCAATTTTTAAAATATTTTTTAAAAAAGGAAAATTAGAACATTACAAATACTCTGTATCTGCTTGTGTACCCTATGCTCTCCATCCTGCTGCCTCCCTCCCACAGGTCACTAACTGGTAGCCTACATTTTTTGTCATTTCCTTGATTTTTTTTAAATACTCGTATTACATGTACATAATAAACAATATTAATTAGTTCTGCTTGCTTATGAAGAATACAAATTTATATATATATTATTTTACTCATAAGTGTATGATAATGCTAGTTGTTTTCTAATTAAATTTATTCTACCAGTTTGCCAGAAACAAAACCACATGATTCTTCAAAGTTAGTTACTATATGTGCACTCATTTGATCATTGTGGTGTGCCAGGTTCCATGTTTATTTAGATGTGAATAAGATATGCCCAGTAACATGACATGTAGTAAGATAGAGATGTCCCCCAAGTTTTCTTCTTCCCCCACATGCATTTTGATGGGGAGCAAAAAGGGAAGTAACATTCTAAAGTTAAATGGTTAAGCCCTAGCCAGTTTTGCTCAGTGGATAGAGCATCGGCCTGCGGACCAAAGGGTTCCGGATTCCATTCCGGTCAAGGGCACGTACCTTGGTTGCAGGCTCCTCCCTGGCCCAGGCCCTAGTGGGGCTCGTGCAGGAAGCAACCAGTTGATGTGTTTCTCTCACATCGATGTTTCTCTCTGTCTTTCCCTCTCTCTTCCACTTTCCCTAAAAAAAAATATAAATAGTTAAATGGTTAAGAGTAACTGTATTTTAATAAGGCTCTAGATAAAATCCTTATCTAGGATTATGTTAATTAATAGTGATAGTGATAATGGTAACATGTATGATGTGCTGATGTTTGCACCTAGTAATTCAAACCCAAGCAGGTTCCAGAGCCAATGCACTTAACCACTATGCAATAGTACCTTTCTATTTTTTTTATTAAAAAAACTTTTTTAGCCAAAACCGGTTTGGCTCAGTGGATAGAGCGTTGGCCTGCGGACTGAAGGGTCCCAGGTTCAATTCCGGTCAAGGGCATGTGCACCTTGGTTGCAGGCATATCCCCAGTAGGAGATGTGCAGGAGGCAGCTGATTGATGTTTCTCTCTCATCGATGTTTCTAACTATCTCTCTCCCTTCCTCTCTGTAAAAAATCAATAAAATATATTTTTTAAAAAACAAAAAACCTTTTTTATTGATTGATTGATTTTTAAAGAGAGTGAGTAAGGGAGAGAGAAAAAAAAAATCCACTTGTCCACTTGTTATTCCACTTATATTTATGCATTCATTGTTTAATTCTTGTATGTACCCTGACTGGGGATTGAACCTGCAACCTTGGCATATTAGGACAATATCTAACCAACTGTGCTACCTGGCCAGCGTGCAATGGCACCTTTCTTAAGCCAATATGAGTTCATTTGAAACATTTAGATCAGTGGTCCACCCCATAACAAAGAAACGGAATTTCTAGAGGATGAGGCCCAGAAATCAGGATTTTAAAAAGATTCCCAGGTGATTCTAATGTGCAGCCAAGGTTGAGAACCACTGATTTAGATGGTGTTTCTTTTTTTTTTCCTTAATCCTCACCCAAGGATATTTTTCCATTGATTTTTAGAGAGAATGGAAGAGAGAGGGAGAGGCAGAGAGAAGCATCAATGTGAGAGAGACGCATCGATGTGAGAAAGACACATCGATTGGTTGCCTCCTGCATGCACCCTGACCAGGGCCAGGGAACTTGCAACCAAGGTACATGCCCTTGACCAAAATCGAACCTGGAACCCTTCACTCTGCAGGCCCGATGCTCTATCCACAGAGCCATACAGAATAGGGCTAGGTGCTGTTTCTTATGAGAAGGAACCAGAGAGGATTAGTCTCCTTTAAATTAGAGCTTTTAAAATCTATTCTATATATATAAAAGCCTAAGCCACTGGCCGATCGGCTGACCGTCTGGTAGCTATGACATGCAATGACCACCAGGGGGCAGACGCTCAACGCAGGAGCTGCCAAGCTGCGGTGACTTGGCAGCTGAGGTTCTTGGGTAACACACCCGGAACCAGAGAGGAGGGAGTCCAATTCCGGGACCCCCTAAGGGGATGTGGGAGAGCCGATTTCAGCCCAGTCCCCACAGGCCAGGCCGAGGAACCCCATCGGTGCACGAATCCATGATCCGGGCCTCTAGTATATATAAAACATGAAAGGCACAAAGGGTTTAAGTTAAAAGAAGAAACAACTGAGAATTTAGGGGTCACCGACTTTGACCTATTGTGCTTTTTTTTCCAGGATGGGGAAATGGTGCTGCTGGATGGAGGTTGTGAATCTTCTTGCTATGTGAGTGACATCACCCGTACCTGGCCTGTCAACGGCAGGTACGTCTTCTACAGATCCCACTGCTTCTTTGGAGTGTGGTTATATTTGGAATAAATGGCTAATGAGATAGACAGGTCCCCTCTAGCTCAGGTTAACTGCCTTTGCAAAGTTCCTGATTATTTTTTAAGATTGTTTAGTCATCATCACAGGATCAGGGACCTAGAAACACCTAGTTAACATCCACACACATACATATATGTGTATATATAGTATATATGTATTTAGGTTGGTAGATAGATTGATTGATAATGATTGATGCATTTAAGGAACTTACTCACGCATTTGTAAGGCAGGCTGGAAACTCATGCAAAAGTTGATGTTGCAGTCTTGAGGCAGAATTCTTTCTCCAGTATAGCAAGGCAGTTCTGGCATTTGAATTCATTTAGTATAAGATACCTTGTGGCCCACGCTTCAGCCAACCAACCAAATAAACTGTTGGCGCCTTTTTGAACCCTTGAATCCAGAATCTCTGCTTTGTGGACATATATCAATAAGTTCAGCCTGTTCCAACTTTGTGTTCCTTTCAGTTATCCCACATATTACTATCCATTTCCACACACATTCTCAGATTTTTATCTATATAAGTAGGAAAAATCATGCAGTTCTCTTTGGATTATCATGCACCTCCTTGTGGGTCACACTTTGCACCTAACCTTTTGGGACCTGCTAGGAGTACAATCTAGTTAAAAGTCCAGAGGCAAATACCAAGGCACCTACCTAAGGGGAGAACCTGTAGGTTCTCAGTCCAAACTAGATTAGTCTCAGATGGTGGGAGAAGGGCTGCTTCTGCCAGCAAAGAAGACAACAGAATTTAGGGGTTCATTGTCCCTAGCTTCATCAGGATCGATCAGAATTGCACAGCTCAGATTTGTGCATTCCAGTGTATGTAAAATTTACATTTAAAAATATGTACTAGTGCCCTAACCGGTTTGGCTCAGTGGATAGAGTGTCGGCCTGTGGACTGAAGGGTCCCAGGTTTGATTCCGGCCAAGGGCATGTACCTTGGTTGTGGGCACATCCTCAGTAGGAGGTGTGCAGGAGGCAGCTGATTAATGTTTCTCTCTCATCGATGTTTCTAACTCTCTATCCCTCTCCCTTCGTCTCTGTAAAAAATCAATAAAATATATTTTTAAAAAATATGTACTAGTACTGTGGTGGCATGGAGTATGGGTATAACCATAATGTTGATAAATTTGAACCTGGGAGTTGGGTATGTAGGTGTTCATTATACCATTATATTGTTATACTTAAATATTAGGGGACATTTAGATTCTATCCTATATAATAAAAGAGTAATATGCAAATCGACCGAACGGTGGAACAACTGGTCGCTATATTGCGCATTGACCACCAGGGCGCAGACACTCAATGCAGGAGCTGCCCCCTGGTGGTCAGTGCGCTCCCACAGTGGGAGTGCTGCTCAGCCAGAAGCCAGGCTCATGGCTGGTGAGCGCAGTGGTGGTGGCGGGAGCCTCTCCCGTCTCCATGGCAGTGCTAAAGATGTCCAACTGTGGGCAACGGGCCTAAGCCATCTGTTGGACATCCCCCAAGGGCTCCTGGACTGCGAGAGGGCACAGGCCAGGCTGAGGGCCCCCTTCTCCCCCCTCCCCCCAAGTGCATGAATTTCATGCACCAGGTCTCCAGTTATAATTATAAAAAAACATTATAGTGAACATTTTTGTACATACAGCTTTTTTTGAATTTCAAATATTTTCTTAGGATGGATTCTTAGAGCAGAATTACAAGCTCAGATTTTATGAGCATCTTTGAAGGCCTTTGACTTAATTGGCTGTACTACTTTATGGGAGTGTAAAATAGTACATGGAACTATGTATCATATACCACCCCATTTTAATTTTTTTTCCATTTTTCCCCATGATTGCTGAAGAAATTGTTACACTAAGGACACCTAGAAACTAGTAAATTACTAGTAACTGAAGTATGGACTAGTTTATCCCATGACATGGCTTTGCCTCTAAAAAAAATAGATCCCTAAGCTGCTTTTTTTTAAAATATATTTTATTGATTTTTTTACAGAGAGGAAGGGAGAGGGATAGAGAGTTAGAAACATCAATGAGAGAGAAACATCAATCAGCTGCCTCCTGCACACCCCCCACTGGGATGTGCCCGCAACCAAGGTACATGCCCTTGACCGGAATCAAACCCGGGACCCTTGAGTCCGCAGGCCGACGCTCTATCCACTGAGCCAAACTGGTCAGGGCAAGCTTCTTTTTTTTAATAGTAAAAAGTGGAAAGGATCAAGAGTGACCTGGTCTGGCCCTCTGGCTACATTCAGGGCTGGGTGCGTCCTCTAGCCTCACCTCATTTATATCTGCTGACTGTGTGAAGGACTGTTTCTGCCCCAGTTTGAAGGGTTATTGCTCTTCCTGTTGAGCATCTAGGGTGTGATTAAGGTCCTGTCCGTAATGCCTGTTGGTATGATTAAATATTTACAGTGCCTCCTCATCATCGCCTTGGAGTTTTCTAATCAAACCACTAACAGCAGGGCTGGTGGAGAAGGCAGTATGTTCGCCATCCTAGAATTGACGAGCGCTTTTACACATTATGTTTTGGGGAAGAAAGATGTAAGTCGTTTTGAAAGAACTTACATTGTCTATAGATAAGGGTTGGGGGGCGGGGGTTGGTGCAGGAGGGCGTTTTAGGGTAGGAGTACAGTCTGGAGGAAGAAATATTTACTTCTTTTGATTGGTTACAGGCAGCAGTCTCGAAAGTTCCTGCACATGCTGGATGTGGTGGTGGCTGGTGGTCAGTTCATAGACCCTGGGAGCTGATCCAGAGCTTCTAACACACATCCAAATATGAGCGGTCTTTCGTTAGTTGGCACGACACCGTTAACTGGTCAACTATTCCTGTCCCTTCCTCTCACTCTCCCACTGCTGTCATTTGACTTATAACATCTCAGAATTTTTTTCTTGTCACAAACTTCCTGCAATATCAGTCAATTCCAAATTTGCGTTCTTTGGTTTTCCTGTCCCCAGGTTTACGGCACCTCAAGCAGAACTCTATGAAGCTGTTCTAGAGATCCAGAGAGATTGTCTGACCCTCTGCTCCCCCGGAACAAGCTTGGAAAACATCTACAGCATGATGCTGACCCTGATGGGGCAGAAGCTTAAAGAGTTGGGGTTCCTGAAGAACATTAAGGAAAATAGTGCCTTCAGGGTACCTCACTTCTTTTGACTCAGTTCTCAAGAACACCTTACATGCTGCTCGGTTTTTATGTAAAGCTCATTAGATTTAGAAATGGTCTTTGTGATTCTTCATCTGTAAAAGGGATTTACAATGAACCGGGATTACAACAAAGGGAGTCAGTACTTATTTCTCCCAGAAGGTGGCAGCACATTCTGGTTCATTGCATACTGCATAGTGTGCAACTAGCTCAGTCGTCAGAAGACATAAAATGAAGTCTGGTGCAGAGGGTGGAAAAGGACACAAAAAGGAGGAGAGGTTAACTCTTGATTCTTTTGTGCTAATTTTGAAAAGGTAGAGGTCGAAGGGGAGGGTGTTTGTTACTTCAGTGACACTGTTGAGACTTTAACAATATCCTCAAGGGCATGTCTTTAGGGAATTTCATCTGCATCCAAATGTATTCAGTAAAAATGTAAAGCCTCGGCTTTAAATTAAAATTCCGGGTGGTCAAGCCAAACAGACCATTAAGGCATCTCCCATCTCCAAGGTTAGGCTGCCAGGGTTTCTTTTATCGATAGGAAAGAAGCTATAAATTCCTCCTGCTCAGGCCAGCAAATCTTTAATTAATGGATAGAAACATCCAGGCCAGTAAATGCCTAGTAATTGCAGTGCTATTTGATGTTTCAGCCTGCTCCACAAGTTGCTGTGAGATACCTGGGGTCTCCAGAGTAGACTTCCTGAGAGGGATGTGTGAATGTGGAAAAGAGAACTATTCTAACATAATCACCCTCCTTCAAGAAAAGAGATTTTTATTAACCATAGTCATTACTGGGCTTACCCAAGTCAGCATGTGTGTAGTATATGAAATACTGGGAGTGGAAATGTGGATTAGTTAGAATGCATTGGCAGAATTTCATTCGAGAGGTGGCAGTGATCAGGTCTCTTGGTCAGTAGCCTAAGGACAGATTAAACAGAACCATGGGGGAGCGGTTAACACCTATCTCGCTGACTTATACATGCCCGACTGCCCCTCAAGGGGCCATTGCTCTAATAATACTGTGGCAATTACCTTTTCCAGGCTGCTCGAAAATACTGCCCTCACCACGTTGGCCATTACCTGGGGATGGATGTCCATGACACTCCAGACATTCCCCGATCCCTCCCTCTACAGCCCGGCATGGTGATCACAGTGGAGCCAGGTAAGGGGATAGGGAGTGTTAGCAGCCTCTACCCCCGTGGGACATGTAATAGTGTCAGATAGAAAGGTAACCACCATGGCGAGGGTGAAGATTGATATGACAAGAGTAAGTTTTAAATACTGATGCTGTTTTTGTCATGAAAACAGATCTCATTCTTAGATTTCAAGTGTTTTTATCTCTAAATTAAGTAATTATAGCTGGGACACGTCTTTCATACCACCCTTTGAATCCAGGTAAACGTTACTCTCTGGCCTTGCATATCACTTAGTCCAGTTTGGTCAGCACGTGGGTGCTTCCTTAGACTTTGACTACAAAATCCTTTTTATCACAGAGCAGAAGGTGAGGAAGTTTATAGTTTCTTTAACTTGAAAAGAGTGTTGTCTTTCTGACTTCATGATTAGAGAGGGTACCTTGGGCTCTTAGAATTTCCAAATGTTTATTAAAGTCCTCTTATTTTTTTCACTTTACATTTATGGCTTATTGAGAGGGCTTATTTGAGTATTTCTACAGCTTCTGGTTGTTCAGGCTAATAATCTACATAAGTGGTATTTAAATATGTTTTCAGATACCTTATGTCTTTATTTTAGCAAAGTTCCCTTTTTCCAGGGGACTATTAGGCAAAGAAAGAATACATTTATATAATCTACTGGTTCACAGCATATGCTGACATACTCACAGTTTAAGTAACTTTAGTGGCCTGCTTGAGCCACTAGAATATAACAGAATCATGATCAGCATTACCATATGGAGCCTGTAGTCTACTATACAAAATAACTATAATAATAGTTCTAATAATGATAGTCAACATTTATTGACCATTATACTAGACACTTTTATCTGTATTATATCATTTAATCTCCATGACTCTAGGTGGATACTGTTAAGATCCTAGTTTTACAGATGGATTGTAACACAGAGAGATTAACTTACTTGCCCCAAATCATCCAGTTACTGCCATTTATGAACAGCACATTCTTTTTCCTACTTCTCAGGCATTTATATTCCAGAGGATGACAGAGATGCTCCAGAGAAGTTTCGTGGTCTTGGTGTACGGATTGAGGATGATGTAGTGGTGACGCAGGACTCACCTCTCATCCTTTCTGCAGATTGTCCCAAAGAGATCAGTGACATCGAGCAGATCTGCAGCAGGGCCTCTTGACCCTCATTGCAGCCCACATGCACCTCAGGTTCAAGGGTGTGCACTGGCGTCTGTGCACCTGAGCTTCCCGAGTGCTCTCTGTGTGGGTACGTTTATGTGTGTGTGTCACTTGGGAGTGTGGGGCCTGTGTGAATGAATGTATGTAATTGTGTGTGTGGTCTTTTTTTTGTTTTAAGTAACTAGAAATCTGGAAAATTGAATTTTTGGACTGTATGTTACTGCAACTTTAGTTACATTAATTCTATAGAATTAATGACCCAGGCAAGTTTAACTTTTAAACAAAAAGGTAGATCTTGGTTACATATGTTCATGCATTCCAGTTAACACATTTAAATGTACAGAAATTCTTTCCTCCCCAGGTCTTTTCCTTGCAGTGCTTTTGCTGAGACCCAGTTAACATCATAAGATATTTGTATGATGCTTATATTACACTAAAAACCAGTGATCGTGTGAGGCCCATGTATGCCTTTCATGGTGCCAACCTATTCCAGAGCCTGCACATCTACCGGAGCCACAGGAGCCTCATGGGCACTGGGGTCCCGCAGTCCCACCAGTCAGCCTCCCTCCAGACTCCAGCAACAGTGTATCAGACAAAACAGTTCTGAGCCTTTCTTGCTACTTGGTTGCCTAGGGCCTGGAAAGTATTTAGATTCTTGATAAGGAAGGACATAGAAGAGAAAGAAAAATATCTATGTGTCTGCTACAGATCCAGACCTCCATCCATCTGTTCTCAATCTAAAGATGATTCCTGTCCTAGACACCCATGCTTCCTGTGTAGATTCTTCGTGCACTACTCCTCATAGCACATCCTTGAAGCTGCTGCCCTAGCCAAGGGCAGGTCCTCTACTTACCCAGTTAAAGTGGGCACCCAGGTTTCAGAGAGCTACCCTGTTACCGTTCTGTGATTTCTTCTAGTGCTAACAAAAACAAATATGCTTATGCCACCAAGTGCCTAGAAACAGCCTAAGGTCCTTTTCTTTCTCTGATGTTAGCACTGGAAGCGTCATATTTCTCTCAACCCAGCATTGGACGCAGTTATGCAAGAACTCAGTTGTACAAGTTTGCAGAGTGAACAGGGCTAGATTATTGCGTATGGTTTATTTGGGACCTTCTGTCAAAAAGGGAAGCTTCTAAGAACTAGTGTGTCCCCCTCTTAAACTTGTGTATGAGCCCAAGATGTATAAAACATGCTGATTGTTGAAGCAAAAATTTGAGGGTTTTTAAGAAAATATTTGTATTAGCAAAGCACGCTCGGGGATTAACACTCCCTGCAGTGATACCGGCTCGCCTGTCTTATCAGGAAATCCCAAGGTGCAGAGCTCAAAGCAGACAGGTAGTGGCTTCCTCAGGAGACAAAGGTAATGTTATAAACCCAAGTGATATAGATCGTGTCCTGACAGCGTCATCCACAAATGCTTGCTTTGTTCACCGTATCTCAGCCGCTGTGGGAAGGGATGGCCGCACAGCTGGAGTCATCATCCCCTGCCTGCCCTCCTGCTCACTTCTCAGTCCTGTGCTACTTTCCAAACGAAGCGGACTTAAAATGAACCCACAGCTTGGGCTTCTCACCCGGGGCCTCCGGGGCCCTCACGGCCCTTGGCTTGGGTTTCTTTTGTTCATTCACAATCCTGAAAGGTTTTTCCTTTTCTTCCTAGAAATCATTTTCTATGGTCTTCACTGTTTTAGCTAAACACTTAGGCAGCTTTTATGTACAGCAGCATACTTGGACATGAACCAGACTCCTTCCGGTTAGATTCCAGTGAAACTGTGCAGGTGTTATGAGTAGTTAGAATGGCTGTTGTGGAGTCCCTGATCCAAGAATATCGTCCTTTGAGTCCCAGATTAACCACCACAGCTAACCATTTGATTCAGACTACGGAACCATCACGAGATGACAGTGGACATCTCAGAGCAGTGTCTTAGGGGCTGTCTGACATATCCAGGATCTGTGAGCAGATAATCGCGCACAGTGCAGGAACCTCATCCATTCTTCGCCACACCACAGACATACCCCACATTTCCCTTCATGAAGTATAATAAATACTTCCTATATATACCAGGCTCTCTCCTATAATGAAAACCCTAATTTAAAAAAATCTTTCAAATGTTCCACTGGGATTTTTCTCCCTGAATTGAATACATGAGATTGGATCCTTAACTATACCATCTAAATGAAGGAAGCATAGCTAGTACTCTCTGCCGCATACTCTGTGTTGTTTTTTGTTCATCCTCACCTCAGGATGTTTTTTCCATTGATTCTTGGAGTGGAAGGTTGTGTGGGGAGAGAGAGAGAGAGAGAGAGAGAGAGAGAGAGAGAGAGAGAGAGAGAAACATTGATGTGAGAGACATATTGATCAGTTGTCTCCTGTACTCACCTTGACCTGGGCTGGCTGGTTCCGGGCCTGCAACCTAGGTATATGCCCTTAACTGGGAATTGAACCCAGACCCTTCAGTCCCCAGACCAACACTCCAACAGCCAAACCAGCCAGGGCTACCGCATACTTTTATGTGTTTATTTCAGGAATTACTGTTTCCCCCCACAATCAGGAAGTGGACTGTGGAGTAAGAATTCACCCTTCCCATAGTCATAACATCCAAGTTAGGAAGCTACTTGTGATGGTGACTCCCAGTTCTCAGTGTGGGTCTTCTTTCAAAATATTATTATTTTCTTACTGATTTTTATAAGGTCAGAAAGAGAAAACTCCTAACTAACATAGACATTATATCTTAATTGAGATTAAGATCCATGAGACAGCCCTGACTGGGTGGCTCAGTTAGTTGGAGTGTCATCCCGTACATCAAAAAAATAGGGTTGCAGTTCCATTCCCAGTCGGGGCATATACCTAGGTTTCAGGTTGATCCTCAATCAGGGCATGTACAGGAGGATACAGATCTATGTTTCTCTCTTTCTCTCTCTAAAATCAATACAAACATCTCCTCGGGTGAAAAAAAAATCCATGAAACAAGTTAAATCCTCAGATCGTAACAAATTAAATAGAAAAATTGGGTTTAAAAATTTTTTTTTAAACGTATGTAATCAATGCCCTCTTCAGCTTTCTTAATAGTAGATTACAAATACGATGCATGAGATCTGCCTCTCCCTCTCCTGTACCCATGCCAGAGATCACAAGTAAAGCATAGTGACTGTCCCATCAGCCCATGTATGACCTCGGTCCTTCGTAGCACAGTGTTTCTGACAGTTGCTACCAATAAAACAGTTGGAATTGGAGTAAGACCCTCTCTGCAATCCCTCCACTGGCATATAAAAGATGATGTAACGTGTGTGTGTGTATTGGAAACTGAGTGACAATGTAACTTGTGTGTGTGTGTGTATTGGTCCAGAATGGTGGCAGCATAAAGGACCGAGCTTGGAAGAGGTTTTTATGGTTTGGTTAATTTTTTTAAATTTAAGCTGTTAGGGTTAAGTTTTAAGCCTGGGCAAATATATTCAAGGTAAAGTGTTTTATGCCCTTAGTAAAATGAGAAGGTGAATACATCATGAAACCCTATCGTTACAGCAGAATTCCATTGTCACAAAGCACGTGGGTTCTCCTGGCTGCTCTTCTGACCTCTGCCTCTGTGTCACGGAGGAGCTTGGGGTGAGCATCACTGTTGTTCGGATCAGGGGTCCCCATGAACTCAAGGCCCCTTGGGGTGTGCTCATGAGGAGCTAAGAGAACTGTGGTCTTTGTGAGCATTTCTTAATGCTTTGAATGACTTTTGTGCAATTATTTAAATTCGATTTGGATAAAACGCTGTTACTTTTAAGGCCCTTTCCGTTGAAAATAGTTATCTCATTCCCCAACAAGGGAAAAGTATTTGTTACTGCCATTTTAAAAATAAATCATAAAACAATAAAAATGTTTGCACATGTGCGTTATTTTCAAATCTAGAGTTTACTGCTTTAACTTTGAGAATATATTGATTTACAAAATATTTTACTTTACAGTGTGTTCATTAACTGCTATTACAAAATCATGATAGCACCCGGCCAGCATGGCTCAGTGGTTGAGCATCAACCTATGAACCAGGAGGTCACGGTTTGATTCCTGCACATGCCTGGGTTGTGGGCTCCATCCCCAGAGTGGGGCATGCAGGAGACAGCCGCTCAATGATTCTCTCTCATCCTTGATCTTTCTCCCTCTTCCTCCCTCTCCCTATCATTACAAAGCAGTGAGTATCATGTCATAACAGAGTTACAGGGATGACATGAAAGAGGAAGGATGGACTACATTTGTGAAGGGAGTCAAGCCCACTGGTCAGAGAAGATAACCCTATGAGTTTTATAGTAAAACTAGAGGCCTGCCGAAACCGGTTTGGCTCAGTGGATAGAGCATCGGCCTGCGGACTGAAAGGTCCCAGGTTCGATTCCGGCCAAGGGCATGTACCTGGGTTGCGGGCACATCCCCAGTAGGAGATGTGCAGGAGGCAGCTGATTGATGTTTCTCTCTCATCGATGTTTCTAACTCTCTATCTCTCTCCCTTCCTCTCTGTAAAAAATCAATAAAATATATATTTAAAAAAAAAAAAAAACTAGAGGCCTGGTGCACGAATTCGTGCACTGGTGGGGGGCATGGCCTGCGGAGATCGGCCCACTGTGGGAGTGCACTGACCACCAGGGGGCAGCTCCTACATTGAGAGTCTGCCCCCTGGTGGTCAGAGTGGGTCATAGCGACTGGTCTGGTCCTTCCACCGTTGGGTTGCTGGGCTTTTATATATATAGATTGCCCACACATTATAGCACTTTCATTTACATTATCTCATTTATGCTTATGTTGAGCCTGTGAGCCACGTCACTAACCTCATTTTACCGATGAGGAAAATAGGCTCCCTGAGCATTCGACTCACCCAACGTCATATTGTAAGTAGTTCTGGATGGAATTCAGTTTCTTGAACTTGAAACTGATTTGTAAACCTAACACTCACTGAACTCTCATTAGGCCATCAGAATGCATTATATCATCTAATCTCTGCAGCAACAATTTTTTTAAAAATATATTTTATTGACTTTTTACAGAGAGGAAGGGAGAGGGATAGAGAGCCAGAAACATCCATGAGAGAGAAACATCGATCAACTGCCTCCTGCACACCTCCTACTGGGGATGTGCCCGCAACCAAGGTACATGCCCTTGACCGGAATCAAACCTGGGAAATTTCAGTCCGCAGGCCAACTATCCACTGCAGCAACAATTCCTATCACACCTCATTTTATTTTTTTTTATTTTAAAATATATTTTTATTGATTTCAGAGAGGAAGGGAGGGAGAGAAACATCAATGATGAGAGAATCACTGGTCGGGCATGTGCCCTGACTGGGAATTGAACCATGACCACCTGGTTCATAGGTCGATGCTCAACCACTGAGCCAAGCAAGCTGGGCTCACACCATGTTTTATAAATGAGAAAAACAAGACTTTCAGAAGCTCAAGTAATTTGTCCAAGCTAGGATTTGAATTGAGCTACGACTCAGTACCTGAGCCCTGAACAGCCCTACTGCACTGTGCAAGTGAGCACTCCAGTTCTCAGTGATCCTGACTGCCATGGTGCAGCTGGTGTCAGACACACCTGGGTTAGAATCCCTCCTTGGCCATGTACCAGCTCTCTCACCTTAAGATCATTTTCTTAGCTTTCTCTTACCTTCAGGTTCCTCGCTTATAGAATAGGAATCATATGTATCTGGCTCATAGCATCTCCACTTTTTCTTTGATTTTGCTTTTAACCCAATATGTAATCATTACTGTTGTCTGCCTTTATCTGTAGGGCATAAGCTACATGAGGAGGGCCTAGGACTATCTGTACACATCTTGTTCACCATTGTAACTCCTACATGCAGGGCCGGGCCTGGCACATGATGCGTACCCAATAAATATCTGTTCAATAAAGAACTCATCCCAGAGGGGAAAAAAGTTCTCTTTCCCAGCTTCATTAGGTATGACTTCCCTGGAAGGATTCTGGTACAAGTAACCAGGGCAATGAGATATTATGAATGGCCAACCTTGGGTAATTTGGGACCATCTCCTGCCAAGGGAGGTAGGAGGGTGATTGGCAACCCTACCAGAATCACAGGTGGGGCCAGTATCACAAGAGTGACCCATGCAGTCACACAGGCCTTGGGACTCAGAAGGGCCCTGCACATGGGTTAATGCTCTGCTGTTGCTCTTGAAATTCTTAATAATTTTTGAACTAGGACCTTTGAATTTTCATTTTGCATGGGGCGCTGCAACTTATGCAGCTGATCCTGATCACATCCAGTGGGTGGTGAGGGACCAAAAAAAAAAACGGAACGGGAGGAAGTTTTCTACCAAAAACAAGGTTTGGGGAATGATAGAAAGTCCCAAACTGGAAACATTGTGTCTACGTGCCCAGCTCCTCATGAAATAGACTGTGAGCTCCTCTGAAGCAGAGATTATACCTTATTCAGTGCTGTTTGTAGCTTAAAACGGTACCTTGCGTTTTCTTTTAATTAAGTTTATTATTTTGAGGTAATTTGTAGATTCTACATACAGTTGTAAAACATAATATGAGATCCTGTGTGTGCTGTACTCAGTTTTCTCCAATGCTAACATCTTGCAAAACTGTAGTGCCATATCACAACCAGGATATTGGCAGAGATATGGTCAAGATTCAACACTGCCATCACCACAGGCATCCCTTTCTAAAAGAGCCACACCCACTTCCCTCCCACCTTCGTACCCCACTCCTGGCAAGCACTAATCTGTCCTCCATTTATATAATTTTGTCGTGTCAAGAATGTTACATAAATAGACTTATACAGTATGTAACCTTGTGGGACTGGCTTTTTTTTCACTCAGCATAATTCTCTGGAGAGTCATCAGTTGCATGTAACAATGGTTCATTTCTTTTTACAGCCAAGTGGTATAGATGTACCACAATTTAACCATTTCCCATTGGAGGACATCTGGATGTTTCCGGTTTGGGGCCATTACAGATAAAGCTGCTAACATCTGTGTATGGGTTTTTATGTGAACAGAAGTTTTTATTCTTTGGAATAAATGCCCAGGACTGCAATTGCTGAATTGGACGGTAGTGGCATGTTTACCTTTCAAATATACTGCCAAATTGTTTCCCAGGGTGGCTGTTCCATTCTGCATTCCACCTGCAATGTATGAGGGATCCAGTTTCTCTGCATTCTCGACAACAGTGGCGTTTGTCACGGTGTTTTGTTTTATACTTTAGCCATTCTAATAGGTGTGTACTGACATCTAGTTGTGGCTTTAATTTGCATTTCTGTAATGGCCATTTATGTCGAACATCTCTTTCTGTGTTTATTTGCCATTTGTATATCCTCTGATGAAATCGCTCTCTGTCTTTTGCCCATTTCCTAACTGGATCATTTGATTATTGACTGTTGACTGTTAAGAGTTCTTTCTATATTCTGGATATTAGTGCTTTATCACATATGTGCCTTGCAAAAACTTCCTCCCACTCTGTCGCTTGTCTTTCCATCCTATTAACAGAGTCTTTCACAAAGCAAACGTTTTAAATTCTGATGAAGTCCAATGTATCAGTTGTTCCTTTTATGGATCATGTTTTTGGTGTCAAGTCTAAGAACTCTAGCCCTAAATCCTGCAAATTTCCTACTGTTTTATTCCAAGAGTTTTATAGTACTATGTTTTACATTTAAGTTCATGATACATGAGGAGCTAATTTCTGTATAAGGTGTGAGAATAGGTCTACGGCCTTATTTGTGTTGTTTTCTTTGCCCATGGATGTCTAATTGCCCCAGCACCATTTGTTGAAAATGCAATCTTTCCTCCACTGAATGGCTTTTGTATAGTTGTTAAAATTTAGTTGAGCATATTTGGGTGGAGCTTTTCCTGGGTTTTCTGTTCTGTCCCATTGACATATATGTCTGTTCCTCTACCAATAGCACAGTCTTGATTGCTGTAGCTGCATAATAAGTCTTGTAAGCAGGTAAAGTGACTCCTTTTCAAAAAGAGTCTTGATTTTCAAAATTAGTGATTCTTCCTTTTCAAAATTATTTTAGCTATTGTAGTGCTTTTGCCTTTCCATATAAATTTTAGAATAATTTTACCTGTAACTACAAAAAAAAAAACTTTCTGGGATTTTGAGAGGAATTGTGTTAAACTATACTAATTTGGTGAAAGCTGAACTTTTTACTATGATGAATCTTTTCATCCATGAACATGTCTACTTATTAAAAGTCTTAAAAACAATTTTCAGTGTTGTTAGTTTTAAGTGTACCAGTTCTATATGTTTTTTTAGATTTGTACATATTTTTTATAAATGATATATTATTTTTAATTTCTATTATGTCCACCCGTTTATAGCTTGTATATACAAATACAATTTTCTTATGTTTATTTTGTATCATTTGTATGAGCTTGCTGATCATACAAATTAGTTCTAAGAGGGTTTTTTTTAAGATTCCTTAGATTTTCCACATAAACTGTGTCATCTAGAAATGGGACAGTTTTATATCTTTGTTTCCAATCTGTATGCCTTTTGCTTTCTTATTGCACAGGCTACAAGTTCCAGTGCTACAATAAATAAGAGCGGTAAGAGAGGCCATTCTTGCCTTGTTTCCAATTTGAAGAGGAAAGCATTCAGTATTTCACCATTAAGTATGTTAGCTGTAAGTTTTTTGGTAGATGCTCTTTATAAAGTTCAGGAAGTTCTCCTCTATTCCTACTTTTCTGAGAGTTTTTATAATGAATGGTTGTTGAATTTTGTCAAATGTTTTTCTGTGCCTATTGTATGATCATGTGATTTTTCTTCTTGAACCTGTTAATATAAGTAATCTGTTGGCTGATTTTAAAATATTGAAACTTACATCCCTGGAAGAAACCCCACTTAATCATGGTAAATAATTCTTTTTGT